TGCAACGAGACCAGAGTACTGCATGAAAGACCAGAGTACTGCATGAAGGACCAGAGTACTGCATGAAGGACCAGAGTACTGCATGAAAGACCAGAGTACTGCATGAAAGACCAGAGTACTGCATGAAGGACCAGAGAACTGCATGAAGGACCAGAGTACTGCATGAAGGACCAGAGAACTGCATGAAGGACCAGAGTACTGCATGAAGGACCAGAGTACTGCATGAAAGACCAGAGTACTGCATGAAGGACCAGAGTACTGCATGAAGGACCAGAGTACTGCATGAAAGACCAGAGTACTGCATGAAGGACCAGAGAACTGCATGAAGGACCAGAGTACTGCATGAAGGACCAGAGTACTGCATGAAAGACCAGAGTACTGCATGAAGGACCAGAGTACTGCAACAATAATGATAATAATAAATCATTTTATCACTCAAAGTCTCTTCACATCATTATCATTTCTCTCCAAACACAGTGGTGATAAACTCCTGTAGCCACAGCTGCCCTGGGGCACACTGACAGAAGCGAGGCAACCAGTCTGTGCCCCTCCCACCACCACCAACCATTCTCACACACACCAGACTCATTCTAATGTGGGGGAAGTGTCTTGCCTAAGGACACAACCACAGTTTGGCACTTTACAGCCGCAGCCGCCCCACTGTGTTCCCAGAGGTCTCCCATCACAGCACTAACCAGGCCCTGCCGTGCTTAGCTTCAGCGGTCTGACAGGATCTGGCTTTTACCTGCAGATGGTCATAAGTCACATGGTCATAGGTCACATGGTCATAGGTCACATGATCATAGGTCACATGGTCATAGGTCACAGGATCATAGGTCACATGGTCATAGGTCACATGGTCATAGGTCACATGATCACAAGGTCACAGGGTCACATGGTCAAAGGTCACAGGGTCATAGGTCACAGGGTCATAGGTCACATGGTCATAGGGTCACATGGTCATAGGGTCACATGGTCATAGGTCACAGGGTCATAGGTCACATTGTCACAGGTCACAAACCTGAAGCGCTTCAGCTCCTCCTCCGTTGCCGTGGGAAACACTCGGTCCAGAGCTCCGTCTCCAATGTTCAGACCGATCCAGGAGTCACAGAGAACCCTGACGTTTGACCCGGTCTGAAGGTCCTGGACCATCACAGAACTTACAAACCTGAGGAGCACACAACCCAGACCTGAGACCAGAGGAGCACACAACCCAGACCTGAGACCAGAGTCACATGTCCGGGTCACATGTCCGGGTCACATGTCCGGGTCACATGTCCGGGTCAGATGTAAGGGTCACATGTAAGGGTAGCATGTCCGGGTGACATGTCTCACCTGTCCGGGTCACATGTCCGGGTCACATGTACGGGTCACATGTAAGGGTCACATGTCCGGGTCACATGTCCGGGTCACATGTCTGGGTCACATGTCTGGGTCACATGTCTGGGTCACATGTCTCACCAGTCCGGGTCACCTCCTCGGTTGTTGTGCCACAGCCGCACCGACTGCACCTCCCCCAAACTGTCCTCTGTCTTCAGGATGAACCTGTCTGTGGCTCCTCGACCAAACACCGGCTTCTGGGAGTCTGTGAGGAGGTGCGGAGAAGAGGAGGCGCGAGATCCAACCAGGACCAGAGTGACCTGAGGGAGAGAGGAGGAGGTGAGGAGGTGCGGAGAGGAGGAGGAGGAGAGAGCGCCAACCAGGACCAGAGTGACCTCAGGGAGAGAGGAGGAGGTGAGGAGGAGGATGAGGAGGACGCGCAAGAGCAAACCAGGACCAGAGTGACCTGAGGGAGAGAGGAGGAGGTGAGGAGGTGCGGAGAGGAGGAGGAGGAGAGAGCGCCAACCAGGACCAGAGTGACCTCAGGGAGAGAGGAGGAGGTGAGGAGGTGCGGAGAGGAGGAGGAGGAAAGAGCGCCAACCAGGACCAGAGTGACCTGAGGGAGAGAGGAGGAGGTGAGGAGGAGGAGGTGAGGAGGAGGAGAGAGAGCAAACCAGGACCAGAGTGACCTGAGGGAGAGAGGAGGAGGTGAGGAGGTGCGGAGAGGAGGAGGAGGAGAGAGAGCAAACCAGGACCAGAGTGACGTGAGGGAGAGAGGAGGAGGTGAGGAGGAGGACGAGGAGGACGCGCAAGAGCAAACAAGGACCAGAGTGACCTGATGGAGAAAGGAGGAGGTGAGGAGGAGGAGTTGGCTCTCCCACGTGAGGTGGGAGAGCCAACCAGGATCAGAGTGACCTGAGGGAGAGAGGAGGAGGTGAAGAGGAGGTGAGGAGGAGGAGGACAGGAGGAGGTCACCTGAGCTGTGGTGGAGGCTCCTCGTCTGTGTCCCGTCTTCACAGTCACTAAATACTGATACTGATGAAACGGGTCGTTATCTGCAAGAACTGTTACCTTCACCTGAAACACACACAACCATGAGAGAGACCAGAGAGAGACCAGAGGGAGACCAGAGGGAGACCAGAGAGAGACCAGAGAGAGACCAGAGAGAGACCAGAGGGAGACCAGAGAGAGACCAGAGAGAGACCAGAGAGAGACCAGAGGGAGACCAGAGAGAGACCAGAGAGAGACCAGAGAGAGACCAGAGAGAGACCAGAGAGACCAGAGAGAGACCAGAGAGGGACCAGAGAGACCAGAGGGAGACCAGAGGGAGACCAGAGAGAGACCAGAGAGAGACCAGAGAGAGACCAGAGAGAGACCAGAGAGAGACCAGAGAGAGACCAGAGAGAGACCAGAGAGAGACCAGAGGGAGACCAGAGGGAGACCAGAGAGAGACCAGAGAGGGACCAGAGAGACCAGAGGGAGACCAGAGAGAGACCAGAGAGAGACTATAGAGAGAGACCAGAGAGAGACCAGAGAGGGACCAGAGAGGGACCAGAGAGAGACCAGAGAGAGACCAGAGGGAGACCCGAGAGAGACCAGAGAGGGACCAGAGAGAGACCAGAGAGAGACCAGAGAGAGACCAGAGAGAGACTCGAGAGAGACCAGAGAGAGACCCGACAGAGACCAGAGAGAGACCCGAGAGAGACCAGAGAGACCAGAGAGGGACCGGAGAGGGATCAGAGAGAGACCAGAGAGACCAGAGAGGGACCAGAGAGGGACCAGAGAGAGACCAGAGAGAGACCAGAGAGAGACCAGAGAGGGACCAGAGAGAGACTAGAGAGAGACCAGAGAGAGACCAGAGAGAGACCAGAGAGAGACCAGAGAGAGACCAGAGAGAGACCAGATAGAGACCAGAGAGAGACCAGAGAGAGACCAGAGAGAGACCAGAGAGGGACCAGAGAGACCAGAGAGATCAGAGAGAGATCAGAGAGAGATCAGAGAGAGACCAGAGAGAGACCAGAGAGAGACCAGAGAGAGACCAGAGAGAGACCAGAGAGAGACCAGAGAGAGACCAGAGAGAGACCAGAGAGAGACCAGAGAGAGACCAGAGAGGGACCAGAGAGACCAGAGAGATCAGAGAGAGATCAGAGAGAGACCAGAGAGAGACCAGAGAGAGACCAGAGAGAGACCAGAGAGAGACCCGAGAGAGACCAGAGAGAGACCCGAGAGAGACCAGAGAGAGACCCGAGAGAGACCAGAGAGAGACCCGAGAGAGACCAGAGAGAGACCAGAGAGACCAGAGAGGGACCGGAGAGAGATCAGAGAGAGACCAGAGAGACCAGAGAGGGACCAGAGAGGGACCAGAGAGAGACCAGAGAGAGACCAGAGAGAGACCAGAGAGAGACCAGAGAGAGACCAGAGAGAGACCAGAGAGACCAGAGAGGGACCAGAGAGGGACCAGAGAGAGACCAGAGAGACCAGAGAGGGACCGGAGAGAGATTAGAGAGCTCTCACCTTGGCCGTGTCCTGCTGGTCCTTGCGCCGCGCCCACAGCAGCAGTAGCAGATACGTGAGGAACAGCGCCCCCACCAGGCAGACCACCACCGGGTTCTCTGTGAAGGAACCAAACAGCTCCGCGGAGCGCGAGGGGTCCACAAGGTTCGGGGTCACGAAGAACGAGCCCCCGAAGAACGTCAGGTGATCACAGAGGCACTGAGTGTGTGAGGGTGTGGTACCGGGGCCCACCTGCAGGGGGAGTGATCACAGAGGCACTGAGTGTGTGAGGGTGTGGTACCGGGGCCCACCTGCAGGGGGAGTGATCACAGAGGCACTGAGTGTGTGAGGGTGTGGTACCGGGGCCCACCTGCAGGGGGAGTGATCACAGAGGCACTGAGTGTGTGAGGGTGTGGTACCGGGGCCCACCTGCAGGGGGAGCCACCAGGCCAATGTGAGGAAGAACAGGAGAAACTCACGAGAATCACTCTCTGGTCTTTCTCTAAGGTCTTTCTTTCAGGTCTCTCTCTAGGCGTGGGAACCTAAGGGTACCTGACGATACGATACGATAACGATATTATCACGATATGACGATTATCGATATATTGGTTAGAAATACACAATATGCCAATTTATGGCATAAATAAAAGAAAAAATACACTTTATTTAATGATAAATGGAATGGAGATGCGTAATGTAGCCATATATTAAGTATTGATACCAACTTTAAAAAATAATTTGTAAAAAAAAAAAAAAAAAATCGATATCGATACTTGGCAAATGCATATCGATAATCGGATTGCGGGAGAAAGTATCGCGATATATCGACAAATCGATATATCGTCACACCCCTATCTCTCTCGGTCTCTCCCCAGTCTCTCTCTGGTCTCTCTCTGGTCTCTCTAAGGTCTTTCTATCAGGTCTCTCTCTGGTTTCTCTCTGGTCTCTTTCTGGTCTCTCTCTGGTCTCTCTGTAGTCTCTCTCTGGTCTCTCTGTAGTCTCTCTCTGGTCTCTCTGTAGTCTCTCTCTGGTCTCTCTCTCTGGTCTCTCTCTCTGGTCTCTCTCTCTGGTCTCTTTCTGGTCTCTTTCTGGTCTCTCTCTGGTCTCTCTCTGGTCTCTCTCTGGTCTCTCTCTCTGGTCTCTCTCTGGTCTCTCTCTCCGGTCTCTCTCCGGTCTCTCTCTGGTCTCTCTCTGGTCTCTCTCTGGTCTCTCTCTGGTCTCTCTCTGGTCTCTCTCTGGTCTCTCTCTGGTCTCTCTCCGGTCTCTCTCCGGTCTCTCTCTGGTCTCTCTCTGGTCTCTCTCTGGTCTCTCTCTGGTCTCTCTCCGGTCTCTCTCCGGTCTCTGTCTGGTCTCTGTCTGGTCTCTGTCTGGTCTCTCTCCGGTCTCTGTCTGGTCTCTCTCTGGTCTCTCTCTGGTCTCTCTAAGGTCTTTCTATCAGGTCTCTCTCTGGTTTCTCTCTGGTCTCTTTCTGGTCTCTCTCTGGTCTCTCTGTAGTCTCTCTCTGGTCTCTCTCTCTGGTCTCTCTCTCTGGTCTCTCTCTCTGCTCTCTTCTGGTCTCTTCTGTCTCTCTCTGGTCTCTCTCTGGTCTCTCTCTCTGATCTCTCTCTGGTCTCTCTCTCTGGTCTCTCTCTGGTCTCTCTCTGGTCTCTCTCTCGGTCTCTCTCTGGTCTCTCTCTGGTCTCTCTCTCTCTCTCGGTCTCTCTCTGGTCTCTCTCTGGTCTCTCTCTGGTCTCTCTCTGGTCTCTCTCCGGTCTCTCTCCGGTCTCTGTCTGGGTCTCTCTCCGGTCTCTCTCCGGTCTCTGTCTGGTCTCTCTCTCTGGTCTCTCTGTAGTCTCTCTCTGGTCTCTCTCTCTGGTCTCTTTCTGGTCTCTCTCTGGTCTCTCTCTGGGTCTCTCTCTGGTCTCGCTCTCCGGTCTCTCTCTGGTCTCGCTCTCCGGTCTCTCTCTGGTCTCTCTCTGGTCTCGCTCTCTGGTCTCTCTCTGGTCTCGCTCTCCGGTCTCTCTCCGGTCTCTCTCTGGTCTCGCTCTCCGGTCTCTCTCTGGTCTCGCTCTCCGGTCTCTCTCCGGTCTCTCTCTGGTCTCGCTCTGGTCTCGCTCTCCGGTCTCTCTCCGGTCTCATGGTCTCGCTCTCCGGTCTCTCTCTGGTCTCTCTCTGGTCTCTCTCTGGTCTCTCTCTGGTCTCTCTCTGGTCTCTCTCTGGTCTCTCTCCGGTCTCTCTCCGGTCTCTCTCCGGTCTCTGTCTGGTCTCTCTCCGGTCTCTCTCTGGTCTCTGTCTGGTCTCTCTCTGGTCTCTCTCTGGTCTCTCTCCGGTCTCTCTCTGGTCTCTCTCCGGTCTCTGTCTGGTCTCTGTCTGGTCTCTCTCTGGTCTCTCTCTGGTCTCTCTCTGGTCTCTCTCTGGTCTCTCTCTGGTCTCTCTCTGGTCTCTCTCCGGTCTCTCTCTAGTCCTCACCCTGCAGCCTGCGGAGCTCCACTCTCTCTCGCTCTGATTCCAGAAGTTGCAGCGGGTGTAGACTGGTGTGATGGACAGAGAGGCGTTGATGGTCTTCACCCCAGGACCCACCAGGGGGCGCACCAGCAGAAACAAGGGCCCCGAGTGGCCCCTGAGCTCAGAAGGGCCGAGCAGCCACGTGTAGCGCTCATCTGAGGAGAGAGGCCGGGTTTAGACCTGGTTTAGTCATGTTCAGTCCCGTTTCAGACCTGGTTCCATCCTGATTCAGTCTTGGTCTTGTCTTGGTCTTTTCCTGGTCTTGTCTTGGTCTTGTCTACGTCTTGTCCTGGTCTAGTACCCATGGTGTCTCCCTGGTGAGGCAGCGTTGTCATGGCGATGTGGCTGGTCTCGTTCGGATGCTCGGCTCCGAGATAAACCTTCATGGGTAAAACACTTTCAGAGGGAACCATCTGTGGAGACATGTCAAAGCAGGTCAAACCCCGGCCCGTGGGCTAAATCCGGCCCGTGGGCTAAATCCGGCCCGTGGGCTAAATCCGGCCCGTGGGCTAAATCCGGCCCGTGGGCTAAATCCGGCCGGCAAGACCATTTTCAGAGGCCCCCGTCATTTCATCTGCTCTAGATTATAACTGACATTTAACTGATCAGATGTGAAGGTCTCTGATTGTTAACTATCATCAGGCTTCAACTGCAGCTCAACACACAAACTCAAATCAAAAACGTTGGTAAAAAAAATGTAGAAATATAAATAATGTGTGTGTGTGTGTGTGTCTCCCTGTGTGTGTGTGTGTGTGTAAGTGTGTCTCCCTGTGTGTGTGTGTGTGTGTCCCTGTGTGTGTGTGTGTGTGTCTCCCTGTGTGTGTGTGTGTGTGTCCCTGTGTGTGTGTGTGAGTGTGTGTGTGTCCCTGTGTGTCCCTGTGTGTGTGTGAGTGTGTGTGTTTTGTGTGTGTGTGTGTGTGTCTTGCCTTTATCACCAGTGTGGGCTCCCTCAGGGGGGGGCTGCTCTGTGGGGGGGGCAGGTGCAGGACTGTGGTGCTGAAGTTACTCAGGTCCAGGACGCTGCTGTTCAGAAGGTTCCAGAGCGGGTTCTGGAGGAAGATCTGGACCAACGGCAGAGAAGTTTAGGTCTGCTCTGGTCCAGTCTGAGTTGGTCTGGTTTGGTCTGTTATGGTCTGGTCAGATCTGGTCAGGTCTGGTTTGGTCTGGTCAGATCTGGTCTGGTCTGGTTGGGTCTGGTTTGGTCCGGGTTGGTCTGGTTTCCACCTCTATCTCCTTGCTCAGCCCTTGCACCAGGACTGGTCTGGCCTGGTTCTGTCCCAGCTTCAGCGACACGATGGGAGCCGACACGTTCCCTCTGGAGTTCCACTCAAACGGGTTCTTCTGCAGCGCCACCACCTGGACAGAGAGAGAGACACAGAGAGAGAGAGACCTCAGAGAGAGAGAACACAGAGAGAGAGACCTCAGAGAGAGAGACCTCAGAGAGAGAGACCTCAAAGAGAGACCGCAGAGAGAGAGACCTCAGAGAGAGAGAGAAACACAGAGAGAGAGAACACAGAGAGAGAGACCTCAGAGAGAGAGACCTCAGAGAGAGGCCTCAGAGAGAGAGAACACAGAGAGAGAGACCTCAGAAAGAGAGACCTCAGAGAGAGAGAACAGAGAGAGAGACCTCAGAGAGAGACCTCAGAGAGAGAGAACACAGAGAGAGAGACCTCAGAGAGAGAGAGACCTCAGAGAGAGATAGACCTCAGAGAGAGAGAACACAGAGAGAGAGACCTCAGAGAGAGAGACCTCAGAGAGAGACCTCAGAGCGAGAGAGAAACACAGAGAGAGAGAACACAGAGAGAGAGAACACAGAGAGAGAGACCTCAGAGAGAGACCTCAGAGAGAGAGAGAACACAGAGAGAGAGACCTCAGAAAGAGAGACCTCAGAGAGAGACCTCAGAGAGAGAGAACATAGAGAGAGAGACCTCAGAGAGAGAGACCTCAGAGAGAGACCTCAGAGAGAGAGAACACAGAGAGAGAGACCTCAGAGAGAGAGAGAGACCTCAGAGAAAGAGAGACCTCAGAGAGAGAGACCTCAGAGAGAGAGAACACAGAGAGAGAGACCTCAGAGAGAGAGACCTCAGAGAGAGACCTCAGAGAGAGAGAACATAGAGAGAGAGACCTCAGAGAGAGACCTCAGAGAGAGACTTCAGAGAGAAACCCAGAGAGAGACCTCAGAGAGAGAGACCTCTGAGAGAGACCTCAGAGAGAGACCTCAGAGAGAGAGAACACAGAGAGAGAGACCTCAGAGAGAGAGAGAGAGAGAGAGAGAGAGAGACCTCAGAGCAAGAGAGAGAGAGAGAGACCTCAGAGACACAGAGATAGAGACCTCGGAGAGAGAGAGACCTCAGAGAGAGAGACGTGTGGGACACTCACCTGCAGGTCCACCATAGAGTCCTTCTCAAACAGCTCCAGGGGCAGAGAACTGAGGCTGAACCAGGGACAGGACTGAGGACAGTCCGGGATCTGGGTCTGGGACTGGACCTGGTCTGAGGGAAGTCTGAGGAGCACAGGGGGAGGGGCGGGCTACTACTACTACTGCTACTGCTGTTACTGCCACTGCTACTACTTCAACTGCTGCGACAGTAGACTAGTAGTAGTAGTAGTAGTAGGAGTAGTAGGACGATGGTGACCACCAAAGAGATATAAAGCGGAAGATGGCAGCCTCCGGTAGAAGAGCAGCAGGACTCAGACATGGGTCTCAGTCCTGCTGTATGGATCAGAGACATGGGTCTGAGTCCTGCTGTATGGATCAGAGACATGGGTCTGAGTCCTGCTGTATGGACCAGAGACATGGGTCTGAGTCCTGCTGTATGGACCAGAGACATGGGTCTGAGTCCTGCTGTATGGACCAGAGACATGGGTCTGAGTCCTGCTGTATGGACCAGAGACATGGGTCATAAAGAAGGACAGTAAGCTGAGGCTGGAGGCATTTCAAAACCCAATACTGAAAAGGATAACTAGTATCCACACCAGCGCTCACGTTACATCTGAAGAGCTGAGACTAAAATGCAAATGCTCTTAAAGTATTATTGCAAAAAGAAGAATGAAGTTCTGGCAAAGAAAAAGGTCAATGGAAGACTCAAGAATACAAAAAATCATTCTTGACTGGAAACCAAAGGAGAAAAAACAAGAAGGCGGACAAAGGAAACAATGGATAAAACAAATCGAAGAAGACACAAAAGCACGAAATATGTCACTAATCGACCTGGTGTCCACCTGGTGTCCACCTGGTATCCACCTGGTATCCACCTGGTAGATCTGATGAAGGAAAACTGAAGCACATTTCTTGAAGCACTGTAGGCACATCCCTGAGCCCAGTCAAAGGATCTCAGTGAGGTTTTTTTAGCAGGTGAGGCCACTTTTAAAGAGGCCAAGTCCTGCAGTACCCGGGTCTCCCCCCGGGTCGCTCCCCTCCCTCTGGACCCTCTCCCCCGGGTCACTCCCCTCCCTCTGGACCCTCTTCCCCGGGTCACTCCCCTCCCTCTGGACCCTCTCCCCCGGGTCACTCCCCTCCCTCTGGACCCTCTCCCCCGGGTCACTCCCCTCCCTCTGGACCCTCTTCCCCGGGTCACTCCCCTCCCTCTGGACCCTCTCCCCCGGGTCACTCCCCTCCCTCTGGACCCTCTCCCCCGGGTCACTCCCCTCCCTCTGGACCCTCTGCCCCGGGTCACTCCCCTCCCTCTGGACCCTCTCCCCCGGGTCGCTCCCCTCCCTCTGGACCTTCTCCCCCGGGTCGCTCTCCTCCCTCTGGGTCACACTCCCCGGGTCGCTCCCCTCCTTCTGGGTCACATCCCCAGAAGCTTGCACCCGTAAGTCCAGTCTGGGATTCTCTGGCACTAAGACCAGGCCAGAGTCAACAGCGAGGCATAGCTTTTTTCCTCACATTACTCCGGGCTAGGATATAATTTAAAAAAAAACAAAAAACAACAAAAATACAACAAAATAAAGGAGTAGCAGTAGCAGTAATAGTAGCTGCAGTAATAGTAAGAGTAGTAGTACTAGTAGTAGTAGCAGCAGTAGTAGTAGTAGTAGTAGTAGTAGCAGTAGTAGCAGTAGTAGCAGTAGTAGTGTGAGTTTTCATAACACTTTGAAGCAACTTTTGTTAAAGTTAAACTCCTCATTCTATCAATGTGCAGAAGCCAGTACTTTTCCCTTGTTGTGTCTACCTGAAGGCCAAGCTACATGGCACCGTGGCAGCTGCTGATTGGAGGTCTCCATGCCTCCGCTCTGTATAATACACTTGCATTCTGTTGTTCGTGTTGTTCGTGCTGTCTCTACCATCGACAATAAAACATGTCTTCTGTCTGAATTAAAGACGCGATCCCAGACTATGTCATCTTCTTCAGTAGCAGCAGCAGTAGTAGTACTAGTAGTAGTAGTAGTAGTAGCAGTAGTAGTAGCAGTAGCAGTAGTAGCAGTAGTTGTAGCAGCAGCAGTAGTAGTAGTAGTAGTAGTCCGTGTACTCGTACCTGTGCACCATGAGAGAGATGTCCCCCTGGTGGATGACAATGGGACTGTTCTCTGGCTTCAGTCCTTGTAACAGAGCAGTTTGTGTGTTCTCCAGCGCCACCAGCAGGCCGTCCGACACCTCCTCCTGCACACATGGTACAGGTGTGAAAGTATTCATACCTCAGGAACACACACATGGTACAGGTGTGAAAGTCTTCATACCCCAGGAACACACACATGCAGGCCCGTCGCACAGGGCCTCGCAATCCTTCCTTTTTTCTTTTTTTTTTAAATTAAATAAATATACTAGTTCAAGGGTCCCCAAAGGGCGGACTGCGCTCCAAGTTTGGACCCCTAAACCCCTTTCTCTGGATCTCTGTGATTTCTTTTGTTCAAAAGTACATTATTACAAGTAAAGTCAAATTTTCACCATAAACGATTTATAAACAGGCAGGCGCGCGGGCAGCTATGTACGCAGCGGGTCCTCCAACAAAACAACTTTACGGAGCTGTCAGATAACTTTAGCAGTGTCTACGAAGAAAGTAACGGGAATGAGCCCAGTGTACGGAGAGATGGATACTCGCGTCTTCTGTGTGAGGAGGAGGAGACAGGTGTGTGACCAGAGGAGGAGGAAGAGGAGGAGCAGCGAGACAGGTGTGTGAGCAGAGGAGAAGGGGGAGGAGCAGCGAGACAGGTGTGTGAGCAGAGGATGAGAAGGGGGAGGAGCAGCGAGACAGGTGTGTGACCAGAGGAGGAGGAAGAGGAGGAGCAGCGAGACAGGTGTGTGAGCAGAGGAGAAGGGGGAGGAGCAGCGAGACAGGTGTGTGAGCAGAGGAGAAGGGGGAGGAGCAGCGAGACAGGTGTGTGAGCAGAGGAGGAGAAGGGGGAGGAGCAGCGAGACAGGTGTGTGAGCAGAGGAGGAGAAGGGGGAGGAGCAGCGAGACAGGTGTGTGAGCAGAGGAGAAGGGGGAGGAGCAGCGAGACAGGTGTGTGAGCAGAGGAGGAGAAGGGGGAGGAGCAGCGAGACAGGTGTGTGAGCAGAGGAGAAGGGGGAGGAGCAGCGAGACAGGTGTGTGAGCAGAGGAGAAGGGGGAGGAGCAGCGAGACAGGTGTGTGAGCAGAGGAGGAGAAGGGGGAGGAGCAGCGAGACAGGTGTGTGAGCAGAGGAGGAGAAGGGGGAGGAGCAGCGAGACAGGTGTGTGAGCAGAGGAGAAGGGGGAGGAGCAGCGAGACAGGTGTGTGAGCAGCAGGAGGAGAAGGGGGAGGAGCAGCGAGACAGGTGTGTGAGCAGAGGAGAAGGGGGAGGAGCAGCGAGACAGGTGTGTGAGCAGAGGAGAAGGGGGAGGAGCAGCGAGACAGGTGTGTGAGCAGAGGAGGAGAAGGGGGAGGAGCAGCGAGACAGGTGTGTGAGCAGAGGAGGAGAAGGGGGAGGAGCAGCGAGACAGGTGTGTGAGCAGAGGAGAAGGGGGAGGAGCAGCGAGACAGGTGTGTGAGCAGAGGAGGAGAAGGGGGAGGAGCAGCGAGACAGGTGTGTGAGCAGAGGAGAAGGGGGAGGAGCAGCGAGACAGGTGTGTGAGCAGAGGAGGAGAAGGGGGAGGAGCAGCGAGACAGGTGTGTGACCAGAGGAGGAGGAAGAGGAGGAGCAGCGAGACAGGTGTGTGAGCAGAGGAGAAGGGGGAGGAGCAGCGAGACAGGTGTGTGAGCAGAGGAGGAGAAGGGGGAGGAGCAGCGAGACAGGTGTGTGACCAGAGGAGGAGGAAGGAGGAGGAGCAGCGAGACAGTGTGTGTGAGCAGGAGGAGAAGGGGAGGAGCAGCGAGACAGGTGTGTGAGCAGAGAGAGAGGAGGAGCAGCGAGACAGGTGTGTGAGCAGAGGAGAAGGGGGAGGAGCAGCGAGACAGGTGTGTGAGAGCAGAGGAGAAGGGGGAGGAGCAGCGAGACAGGTGTGTGAGCAGAGGAGGAGAAGGGGGAGGAGCAGCGAGACAGGTGTGTGAGCAGAGGAGGAGAAGGGGGAGGAGCAGCGAGACAGGGTGGAGCAGAGGAGAAGGGGAGGAGCAGCGAGACAGGTGTGTGAGCAGAGGAGGAGAAGGGGGAGGAGCAGCGAGACAGGTGTGTGAGCAGAGGAGAAGGGGGAGGAGCAGCGAGACAGGTGTGTGAGAGGAGAAGGGGAGGAGCAGCGAGAGAGGGAGGAGAAGAGGGGAGGGGAGCAGCGAGACAGGTGTGTGAGCAGAGGAGAAGGGGGAGGAGCAGCGAGACAGGTGTGAGAGCAGAGGAGAAGGGGGAGGAGCAGCGAGACAGGTGTGTGAGCAGAGGAGGAGAAGGGGGAGGAGCAGCGAGACAGGTGTGTGAGCAGAGGAGAAGGGGGAGGAGCAGCGAGACAGGTGTGTGAGCAGCAGGAGGGGTGTGAGAAGGGGGAGGAGCAGCGAGACAGGTGTGTGAGCGCTGTTATTGTCAATGTTGAGCCCGAATATCCACATCAGAAACATATTATAAAAGCATTAGCAAACACTGTATGTCCAGCTTTCGTGCTCCTGTGAGTGCAGTGGATTTTGGGCATAAAACACCTTGTTGTAGTCAGTGATGGGAATAACGGCGTTACTTTTTTCAGTAACGAGTAATCTAACTAATTACTTTGACTGTAACTATAGAGGGATCCTACGGTCACGTGACTAGCAGCCACGGCAGCCATACTGGAGGACAACCTCGGCGAGTAACAGCCCTGCTAGCTATCTGGACGTTCAAAACTAGAACTCTCTCGAACTACATGAAAACTGAACAGAGAATTTGAAACTTCAGCAGTTAGTGACCCAAATATATACTCAACCTAAATTCATGAATCAGATCCTCTGAAAATGCGTCCTAAATTCTAAATCCTGTATTATTAATGTTTATCGTCACATCCAGGTTTACCGCGGTCGCATATTGTCGCATTAAAACAGTGTTTTTTCATGAAAACGTGAACAGATCATTCTGAAAACCTCTGTGCACGTGTATTAAGAATGTATATGTATAATGTATTCTCCGATTAACATTTAATGTGTTTATTGTTACACCATGGATCTATGTGTGGCTACACTGCAGTGGAAATAATGAGATTACATTCAAATCAATGGAGCTTTCTGCGTCTACTGTGAGGAGCCGTATATTTTATTAATAAATACTAGAACGGGGCCCCCTGGAGCACGGCTCAGTCGTTCACATGTCTGCTGGCCTTCGGTGAGTCAGATACCCTGTGAAACGGGTGAGGTCCTGTGTGAGACCAAATATATAACAGCTATGCTACAAGCTAAGCTACAGTCTATGCTACAAGCTAAGCTACAGTCTATGCTACAAGCTAAGCTACAGTCTATGCTACAAGCTAAGCTACAGTCTATGCTACAAGCTAAGCTACAGTCTATGCTACAAGCTAAGCTACAGTCTATGGAGCAACCCCACGTTGCAGTCAGACAGATATGTTTTATCCTTAAACTTCTGTTTGTTTCGGAATAACACTAAATCCGCCATCAAATTGATTTCACTTAGCAGAAATGAAATGATCCGAGCATATTCGGGCGCTCTGGGGGCTATTAGTTTTTTGTTGTTGCGTTGTGCCATTTCTCTCTCGTTTCTTTGAGATTTCTTCTGTTTTTGAGCTGTGTGAAGTAAGGACGGCTGCAGTCGGTAACACAACTTATTTTCCCTGTCTCTCCTTTTGCTGCAGCCAAAAACAGCAAAAATGTGAACATGTTTATGCGGTCCCGGGTGCACGCCACTATCATACAGCGTTTGCTTGTCCTCCAGTATGGTTCGAGGCATCGTGACTACTACTGATATTGATCATAATGAAACAGATTAATTAATGGGTCATACGCAATACAAATTACATATTTACTTCTGTTACCAGTATTAATTCCTATGCACCAAGAGCCTCACAAACAGTTCAATTGTCAATACAGATTTTGACCAACAGGAGGTTTGTGAGCATATGAAGCATCAAGAAATGAACCTTTTCTCGAACCAATGGATGAAAAGGTTCAACACTTCATGAAGCTTCATCAACCCATCACTAGTTGTGTTGCATTGTACACATGTCGTCATTGCGTCACATCAGCGTCGGCTAACATTATATTTTTAGATGCTAGGTATTTTTTCTCCTGCGTCAAAATGGAACTGAGAGATATTCAACTTTTCGTCACATGAAACAAGGCATAGCCTATGCTATGTTATCTAACGCTGGTTTAAAACTCAATTGAATATTAGTTTAGCGTTAATCGGACTAATTTCCATCTGCGGGAAATAAGGCACATGGTGTTTGCTAGCTTAGTTAAACAAGTTAACCATTTGAAAAGAACTAAATAATTTATTTTCTCATTTTCCTTGGAAGTAACACAAGGCTACGCAATGTAAGCAAATAAGTATAATACAGCTTGGAAACTTGTGTTGAAACAATCGCGTCAAATACTACAGTTCCCATCATGCTTTTGCTTTGTCACGTGTCCTCCTCAAACAACAACAAGCACCAGGCATGCCTGTGCTTTATTTAGCAAAGAGTTTGGTCTCGTTTCTCAAACGTAAATCTGGGCTGTGTACAGAGGACTGCGTGCTTCGGTATGTACAAACGACGCTGCGCGTGATTTGATTCATAGCGTAGTTAATGTTGTAGCGTAGCTTCTTCTGAGGCCAGTTTTCATTACTTTCATGACTGTCTTTCTTATATCGCTATGCACTCCACTAAACATGGCTGATACTTAGTTATTATTGCTTAACAAGTAGATACGTCTTTCCGTTTTTTTCGTTTGGAGACTGAAAATATATCCCAAAGCATTTATGTTCCCCCCGTGCAACTAAAATTGTATGAATTATTTGTGAATTTAGACAATTAAATAATAATTATGTGAACATTGTGAAATTAATCACAAGTAATGTAATGTTACAGTATATTTGACAATTTATAAATATTACATTATTTATATATTATACTGTAATGTTAAAGTATATTTTACAATTTTCTTTCAGATTCAGGAGAGAAGTGCTGATATTGACACCAGATCTAATACCCACCACTTCTACTTTGGTAGCTTCAATCAGGTAAAAATGTAACTATACATTTGATTTATAGTTTTACTAACTGTATACAACATTGAATCCATATTTTTGTCTTGCAGGGGACCAATAATCAAGACTCAAAGAAGGAGAAAGATTAGAGACAGTAGGCTTTTAGATGAGATGGCAATGCAAAGTTTGCATTGCCATCTCATCTCAAAAGAGATGGCAATGCAAAGTTGGAGAATCCCACCATTCCTCTTGAGCAGACCTTCATGTTCAATCTGGACAAATACACTCCAAATATACTTTCTGTGTTTGCGAAGAAGGGTGGTGCTATCGGGGCAAAACTGAAACCTGTTTTGAACAAACAGATACAGGTATGTTTAGTCAGACGCTTATGCGTGAGTACGCGGCATAATTTGACCCAGATAAATCCCTGTTGTTGGTGCGGCATTACAGAACGCAAGCGTTAGAGACGTGACAACCTCGGTGTGTGCTTTAAGACGCGTGAGTTTAGAGACGCGGCTTAAGACGCAGCGTTAGAGACGCGGCTTTAGACGCAGCGTTAGAGACGCGGCTTAAACGCAGCGTTAGAGACGCGGCTTAAGACGCAGCGTTAGAGACCGGCTATTAGGACGCAGCGTTAGTGACGCGGCTTAAGACGCAGCGTTAGTGACGCGGCTTAAGACGCAGCGTTAGAGACGCGGCTTAAGACGCAGCGTTAGAGACGCGGCTTAAGACGCAGCGTTAGTGACGCGGCTTAAGACGCAGCGTTAGAGACGTGGTTTAAGACGCAGCGTTAGAGACGCGGCTTAAGACGCAGCGTTAGAGACGCGGCTTTAGACGCAGCGTTAGTGACGCGGCTTAAGACGCAGCGTTAGAGACGCTGCTTAAGACGCAGCGTTAGTGGCGCGGCTTAAGACGCAGCGTTAGTGACGCGGCTTAAGACGCAGCGTGATGGGCGCGGCTTAAGGCGCAGCGTTAGAGACGCGGGCTTAAGACGCAGCGTTAGGGACGCGGCTTAAGACGCAGCGTTAGAGACGCGGCTTAAGACGCAGCGTTAGGGACGCGGCTTAAGACGCAGCGTTAGAGACGCGGCTTAAGACGCAGCGTTAGAGACGCGGCTTAAGACGCAGCGTTAGTGACGCACCTGCGGGTGTGTGGACGCACTTGCGTTTGTGGGCGCACCGTGGGGCGCGGCGTAGCTTGAGACGCAGCGGCGTTAGAGGCGCAGCGTTTAAGCAGCAAGGGCGCGGCGTTTAGGTACGCAGCAAGTAGGGGCGCGGCGTTAGCACGCAGCGTTAGCACGTAGCGTTAGCACGCAGCGTTTAAGCAGCAAGGGCGCGGCGTTTAGTTACGCAGCAAGTAGGGGCGCGGCGTTTTTAGGTACGCAGCCACGTAGGGGCGCGGCGTTAGCACGCAGCGCTAGCAGGCAGCGTTAGCACGCAGCGTTAGCAGCAGGGGCGCGGCGTTTAGTTACGCAGCGAGTAGGGGCGCGGCGTTTTTAGGTACGCAGCACGTAGGGCGCGGCGTTAGCACGCAGCGCTAGCAGGCAGCGTTAGCACGTGGCGTTAGCACGTAGCGTTAGCACGTAGCGTTAGCAGGCAGCGTTAGCACGCAGCGTTTAAGCAGCAAGGGCGCAGCGTTTAGGTACGCAGCAAGTAGGGGCGCGGCGTTTTTAGGTACGCAGCACGTAGGGGCGCGGCGTTAGCACGCAGCGCTAGCAGGCAGCGTTAGCACGCAGCGTTTAAGCAGCAAGGGCGCGGCGTTTAGTTACGCAGCAAGTAGGGGCGCGGCGTTTTTAGGTACGCAGCACGTAGGGGCGCGGCGTTAGCACGCAGCGCTAGCAGGCAGCGTTAGCACGCAGCGTTAGCACGTAGCATTAGCACGCAGCGTTAGCAGGCAGCGTTAGCACGCAGCGTTTAAGCAGTAGCAAAAGGCAGCAGGCTGAGCGGCGAGGCAATGCAGTTTTAGTGACAGTGAGGGGTAGAAATAGAGTATTAGTTTTGGTGTAGTACCCTCAAACATGGAGTTTGGCAGAATAGAGTGGCTGTTAATTGGAGCAACAAAACAGCATGGAACAAACAGCCAGACAGTGTTAATGTTATCACCATGGGCCGCAGTGCGGTCTAGCCGTGGCATGCAGGAGGGGCAGAATTAAAGTTGTTAGTTTTAGTTATGTATAGCAGTAATGTGTTCAAAATAGCAGCATGCGCTAGAAGTAGCAGAGTTACAGTATGAAACTTGGCCAACGCAGTAATGTAGCCTAACAATTATGTTCAATAGGAGAAGCAGGACAGAGTGTTAGCTGTACCAATGTATAGCAGTAACGTGGTTGTAGACACAACAATATGACATGCAGAAGGAGCAGAGTTAAAATTGTTATTCCTAGTTATGTGTTCTAACACCAAGGGAGGGAACAGAAAAGCATATGGCATGCAGGAGGAGGGGTGGAATTAGCGTAGTCGTTTAGTACAATCAAACATCAAGTTTGGCAAAGTAGAGATTTTAGTTGGAACAGAAACAGCAAGGGACAACAGCCAAAACAGTGTTAATGTTACAACCACAGCCAATCACTTGATCATGAGACGTGGTGCAGGTTAGAAGTCAAGACAGCAGCAATGTGGTCCCGGAAGTGGTTCACCGGGACCGGAAAGCGATTCCGTGTTAGACAATAAGAGGTGCGGCTCATTTAGCAATGTTAGCACCTCATGATCGTCAAAAACACAGAATCAGAGGGAAATAGGATAGTACGAAAGTATAGTACGTTTTGTTATTGTTAGACAACGGGTAGGCAATGCAGCAGAATGGTATTAGCAGTGGGGATGCGGCTCTGGCTTTTAGCGCGCCAGGGCCGGAAGTTAGCCGTATTGCTAAAAACAAAAGAGCGTAGCTAGCCTGTAGCTTGCCGGCAACGGGGTTTTTAGAAGCAGTTTGAGCAGTAAACAATGAGTTTTAGTAACCGAATGCAGTTTGGTCAAACAGAGTAGCACTAGTTTTAACGGTAGATATCAGTTTATAGTGTGAGCAGTAGTAGGACAACGATGTTATCCGGGTGTAGCTTTGAGGCTTAGCAGGCCCGAGCGGACGTTTAGCTTTGTGCTACAACAAAGGAGGGTAGCTTAGCCGTTAGCTTTTCGAGCGTGGAGGTTTTAGCAGTAGTTTATACCACGAAAGTTTGGAGCGAGTTGTACGGTTCGCATAAGCACGTATTTGCAGTGGTGGAATGGGGTTTGTCTGTATGTACTGTAGGGTGCTGGTGTGTGTGTACAACAGCAGGTTAGCAGGCGGAAAAGTGGTGAGACAGAGTTAGCGTTAGCAGCCTTTAGCAGAACACATAGCATCACATTCAAACAGCTGCCATTTACAGCCTTTTACACTGATATACTCGGTTACAATCCTGTGTGACTCGGTCACAAAGGAGCACAGAGGAGGTCTGTACGTCCGTGTTCTAAGCACGGTGTACAGTGGGTTACGAGGATAAGATTTTGCGCTTTCTCTTCAGAGAGGGAGCGACTTCACACCCTCACGCTGCCTTAGCAGGGCGAAACGTTGTAGAGGGATGCGTAGGACCCAGTACAAGCCGGGATTTGAGACTAAATAAAATTAGTCTGGTGGGATCACGGACGTTGCAAGCGTTCGCGTTAGGGGGAGCTCAAATTGTTTTTCAAACTCACCATAGCAACGGAGCACAGAGGAGCAGAGGGGGTGGGGGGGTGGGGAGGTGGGGGGACAGCGCTTGGAGCGTGAGCAGCTCTAGTTAGCGTATACAGATCACAAAGAGTAGAGTCGATAGATTTGGCCTATTTACGCGGATTTCACACAGGGTACCATATGTAGGATATGCTACTTATATGCTGACTATAATTACTTATTAGTATAAATTTGGTAGTGTGGGTCTGCTTATATTTATCTTGGCACCAGCCGTGTGTGCGTATGGCACACGGCACAGACCAACCAAATCTTGCCTCGATATCAATCTGATGAATCTAATAGGTAGTGGGTACTTTTATCTACCAGGGATAGTCCGAAACCTAATCAACACGACTCTGATATGATTGAGTTAATAAAAGGGATTTATTGATTACAGAAATGAGGGTAAAATATAACGAAGGGGATTCTTTGGTCACATTTGAGTAGGAGTTTGTACACATATCATTCAAATTGGACATTGAACAACAGAACAGTCTTACTGTGGAGGAGCGTAGAGGATGTGTTTGATGAAAGGGAAGGATGTGGAGAATGAAGAGAGGCTTGAGGCGGCGTCCTCATTCACGTGGTTTCTTTGTTCGAGCTGGCGGGAGTTATGAAGCCAGCGGCGTGGTCCAACTGCGGATCCAGCGATGCGTGGAGTCCAGGGCCGGTGAAAGAGGCTGGTGATGGACAGTTCATAAGGTCCCGGGCCAGAGAAGAGTGTTTGAAAGGGGAGATCTCGATGCGGGCGAGCACAGTCGATCAGGAGGTTCGTACTGCGCTGCCGCAGAGCCGATCAGGAGGTTGCCATAGTGAATTCGAGGAGAAAACAAGAGAGAGAGCAATGCATTGCAACTGGTTTTGTTGTGATCGAGGTGGGCGCGCCCGTGACGTCATATTTGGGCGTCTTCCTGGGCCGCCTCCTCACCACAGACGTGTTAAAATGGGAGCATACAGTATTAATCAAAAGATCACAACCATGTACAAACACACACCGAATTTCATTACTTTGACATTGATACACACATGTAAGGTCTGTCACGGTTATCAATCATAGTGTCATTGAATAATGTCTTTCGAGTGTCCTCCTTGGGTGTGGTAGCGTCCAGTGTTCGCTAGGGGGCGCCAGAGGGCCGCGGGTGGACCCCTTGGTCCGTGGAATGCATTCCTGGTGACAATGCTGATGTGTATCAGCGCATAGAGAGGTGCCAGATGGATATCCTGCTGCTTTTATTGGCCCGTCTGGCGTCGGCAATCACCAGTGATGGATGTGGGCCCTGAGCTGAACTCACGGCTCCTTTGAAGGTCTATTTACCATTTGGTTGATGATAAACAGACAGGCCCGGCTTGGTCCTGTCCCCAGTTTAACCTTACATCTGTTATTCACGCCCGATTGGCGCTCACCTTTTCCTCACCCTACACATACAATAGCAGATCATCTGCATACAGCGATAACTTCAAATTAATACCGAACCGAGAAATCCCTTCAAAGTGTGGGAGTGAACGTAAAGCTATTGATAAAGGTTCAATAGCGAGGGCAAAAAGCAAGGGAGATAGAGGACAGCCCTGCCTTGTCCCGCGTGCCAGAGTAAAGTAATCAGAAACAACATCATTTGTATAGACACTAGCCTGTGGAGAATTGTATAGCAATTGAATCCATGAAACAAAACGACTTCCGATGCCAAATTTACGTAGAACAGCGAACAGGTAGGTCCATTCCACTCGATCGAACGCTTTCTCAGCGTCAACTGAAATCACCACTTCTGACTTGGTATTAGAGTGATGGGATGCTATAACATTTAAGAGTGTACGAACATTATTAAAAAGCTGGCGACCTTTGATGAAACCATTTTGTTCTTCAGAGATGATCAAAGGAAGATTTTTTTCTAGACGACCCGCTAAAACTTTAGCGAGGATCTTGACATCCACATTTAGAAGAGATATAGGCCTGTATGAGGCACAGGATGAAGGGTCCTTATCCTTCTTCAGAAGAACCGTAATAACAGCTTGAGAGAGAGTTGGAGGCAATTGCCCCCGGTCTAAAGATTCATTATATACATAAAACAAAATTGGGGCAATTTTCTCTATTTATTTTTAAAAAAAATTCCGCAGAAAATCCACCTGGACCTGGTGCCTTGCCATTGCGCATATCACTGATGGCATGCAAAATTTCTGCCAGTTGAAGAGGGGCATCTAGCTGTTTAGCCAAAAATGGACCAACTGTGGGTATGGAAAGGTCTTCAAGAAAAGATTTTAAGTCAGAAGAGTTGGCCGTAGATTCAGACTTATACAGAGTTGAATAATATTCCTTGAAAACCTCATTTATAGCGTTTGAATCAGAAACTAGATTCCCTGATGTATCCTTAAATTGTGTTATTAATCTAGACGCAGATTGGCGCTTAAGTTGATGAGCTAAGAGTCTACTAGGTTTGTCACCATGTTCATAATGGGCTGCCCGTGTCCGAAGTAACAGCCTTTCAGCATCTTGTGTAGAGAGCAAGTCAAATTCAGTCTGAAAATCTAGACGCTGTTTGTGGAGAGAAGGAGTTGAATTACTTATAATCTGCCTGTCTATGTCCGCAATTTTGCACATTAATTCCTGAAGCTTAGCCCTACGTTCTCTATTAGAGTGTGCGGAAAAGGAGATGATTTGTCCACGCAAATAAGCTTTCAGAGATTCCCATAACAAGGAAGATGAAACTGTGTCGCACTTATTAAAAACAATAAACTCATCTATTTTAGATTTGATGAAAGTATTAAATTTCTCGTCAGATAATAGCGATGAATTGAACCTCCAAGGTGAGGAATAAAGGGGGCGGTCTAAAAATTTAAGGTCAACACTAAGCGGTGCATGGTTAGAAATAACAATTGGGTGGTACTCGGCAGAAGTCACTTTAGAGATAAGAGAACCATCAATAAAGAAATAATCAATTCGTGAAAATGACTGATGTACCCGAGAGTAAAAAGAATATGTTTTAGCATTAGGATTATAAAACCTCCAAGAGTCTAAAAATCCATTTCGAAACATAAATTCTATTAGAAATAGATGATTCCATAACGCAATTCAAGTCTCCCGCAAATATCAGATGGTGAGTATCAAGAGAGGGAAGGCTACTCAACAACTTATCTGTGAATCTTGGGTCATCAAAATTTGGCGCATATATGTTAACTAGTAATATAGGATGACCGTACATTGAACCAACAACAATCAAGTATCTCCCATTCCTGTCAGCTACTAAATGTGTCATTGTAAACGGCACTCTTTTATGTATCAAAATAGCCACCCCTCTGGCTTTGGAATTGAAAGTAGAATGGAATACATGCCCCACCCACGGACACTTGAGCCTTACATGATCCCTATCCCGCAAATGAGTTTCCTGAAGGAATACCACATCACTTTTGAGACGTTTTAAATGTGTAATTATTTTTGAACGTTTAATGGGGCTATTCAAACCTTTAACATTCCAAGTCAAAAATCTAATACCACTTATTTTGTCTGAAACATTCGTCATTATTGAGTCTTATTCTGCCCAGTGAGAAAGATAGCATGCAGAGGAGGGGGGAGCATACAGCCAAGCATACGAAAAAACAAACAGAAACAAAAACATCATCACGTTTAGAAACACATCTAAACAAAAACCCACCCTTTAACCACCCGCACCGCAACAGGTCCCATCCCCAAACGATAAAGACGGCAGTGCAAACTCCGAATGGAGTCATCAAAAAACAAAAACACCTTCCGGCTGCATAGCGAAACATTAACCAACTAAACACAGCCAAGCCTGCACAAAAACAAATAAAAGTAAATGGCACTCATACAATAGCTTTATAAATAGCTTTGACTTTCAAAATGTAATGATAAAAAATGAATAAATAATTGAGAAATAGTAATAAAAAATAATAGTATTCGATTGAAGTATACAATTTGGTTTAGATAACGTCATAAACAACCATGAACATATAATAAACATTAACATAATGCGTTACACTAACTCATCACTTGAGCCATAAACACAAATTTAGAAATGTCGATCATGTGGTAGATGATCTGGTCAGTGTCTTAACGTAAACATTAGCCTCCCCCGGCGAAGTGAAATCTCGTTGCACTCCCTCATATGTGATTCGTAACTTGCCTGGATGAATGATGCCAAATCGGACTCCTCCAATGTCCCGCAATTGGCGACGGACGTCGTTAAAAGCAGCACGAGCTTTAGCCGTCTTTGCGGTGTAGTCGGGGAAAACAGAAATGTTCATGTCCCTCACCTTGATACGCTGCAGCTCCCTGGCCTTGTGTAGAATATTGACAGCATCCGTGTAGTAATGAAGCCTCGCAACGATAGCGCGAGGGCGTTCGCCGGGACCCGGCTTTGGTGTGCACGGTCCACAAGCGGTGCTCTGGTCAGCGAAAAGGCCTCCATCAAAAGATTAGACACATATTCACTGGACACGGAGTGACTCTCAGAGACTCCCACAACACGAACATTGTTCCTCCGCGACCTGGATTCCAAATCTTCGCATTTGTTCTCCAATTTGATGACATTTTCAGCCATAGACTGCATCTGGTTGCGAAGGGAGATAATATCATCAGTGCAAGTAGAAAGAGACTGCTCCATGTCCGTGACGGTGCCCCTCAGTCCCGCGAAGTCTTGTTTCATGACAGCGATATCAGATGCTATTTGTGTTTTAAATGCATGTAGTTCAGACTTAATCGCTGTAAGGTTTTCCCCCAAAGCCATTTGCAGCTCCGTCTTAAACATAGTCTTAATTTCTTCCCGGAGAGAAGAGAGCAGATCCGCCTTGAGAGCAGTAGCATCGACTTCAGCTAGCGGTATGCTAAGTGCCAGGGGCTGCCCTGGGAGTTGCGCTGGCTGCGGGGAGGATTCACCTGAAGGCGTGGACGAAGAGCTAGCAACAGGCCTCTGTTGAGGCGGAGGGGCGCTCGTGTTTCTGCCAGGTTTAGGCATCGCAATCTTGCACAACGTAGGAAGAAAACAGGTTGTTGTAGCTTCTAATATAAAGTCAAAGTTAAAAAAATAAAAAAAAGATCTGCCAAAATTTGTGGATAATAACAATTTGCAGGAGCTGGCCGTCGCACGTCCTATCACATGTTAAGCTAACCAGGAAGTCCGGTTGAGCTGTTTTAATATGCATTGAGTTCTATGGGGAAAATTTCTGGGTAGCCCACGTGAATTTAGTCTGGTTCAGTCTGCAGTACCGCGAGAATCCCCCGAGCACGTGAGTTATTCAGCTACAAGCTAGTAATACCCTATCCAGTTATAGCGAACTATCTGAATGACGTCACTAAGACACGCCCCCGCCGTCTGTCAACTCCCGCCTACATGTTTCGGACAAACACTGCCAAAATGAATCAAATACCTCTTGTCACTTTAGACGAAAATGATAAACCAGGGGCAAAATTCCACCATCAAACCATCAGGGATCATAGTGTAGACCAGCCATTCCCAAACTCAGTAACACCGAGGCCCCCTTAAAAATCTGACGGGTCTGCGTGGCCCCCCAAAATAATAACCAAGAAGACAACATTAAGAATAGGCTCTTCTGGTTATTTTATTTTGGGGAAATAGCCTCTGCTACAAACATTGTAATACAAAAATGATTACAGTGGATTATTCAAGTCAAATAATGAACACAAATATTTTAATATTACAAACAAAACATTATAAATTTAACATTAAATAATTATTATTATTATTTTTTTTTTTATGACCTCCCGCGGCCCCCCTGCAGTACCCTCGCGGCCCACCAGGGGGCCGCGGACCCCACTTTGGGAGACACTGGTGTAGACCAATTATAACGTTGGCTTGAATGTCGTGGTCTTCCAGTAACTGGTAGAAAGTTTGATTTGATAAAAAGGTAATGGTGAGGATTATGCTAACATTATCTAGTCATTTAAATTGCAATGTTAGCGCCTTCTTTGTTTATTTTGCTCTGATTAACTTCCATTTATCAAGTTGTTTTTTGTACTGTCCATTTCGTAATTAGTTTGATCATTTAGTTAACTACAGTCAGCCGATATTATAATAGATCCATGGGGTCACAACGGGTTACGCCACTACTGTCTCTGAGAGAGAAACTATCGGAGCTAGCCACACTCAGTAAACGCAAACGACAATCAATCAACATATTTAAATGTTAATGCTAGAATATAATATTCATACAACACACGTGCACAGAGGTTTTCAGAATTATCTGTTAAGGTTTTCATGACAAAAATACTTTTATAATGCGACTAAAGCGATCGCTTTTTTAAAGTAGGTGAACTAAAACCTTTGGGAACTATTTTCTTTGCACTCATTAAATAAACCTTTTGGCATGAATAGTGACAGAAGTTTATTTTGTGTGTTCAGTTGGTACAAAGCCGTATAATAAGCGGACCCCGACGCGCTTCGTCTGTGCTTATTTTCCGATAGTCACGAAGTTGAAAAAATCCCTCTCATCTTTCTTCAGGTGTGAGAATTGTATACATTCTGGATTAGGACAAACAATACTAATATGGATTGATGGGGCTAACTACATTCAGAAGAGCTCAGACGGACCTGATACAGCGGTCCAGGTCCAGTCCCAGCTAAACGTAGCTAGGACTGGATCTGGAGGCTCCACAGTTGGTCCAGCGAAGTGTTTTGAAAAAACATGTCCTTTTTAACATTTTCATGAGAGAAATTCTGCTGACCACAAGCACGAACCCACCTCTTGCACTTGTCCTGGTCTGGTCCTGGTCTGGTCCTGGTCTGGTCCTGGTCTGGTTCGATGGTGTGGTTTAACGAACAGGTTGAATGTTACTGCTTTCATATAGTCCTTTTCAGAGTATCTGAAATCGCTCCCACAAGCACCATAACTGCAGTGTTTTGTTGTCACCATGATTCAATGATTTAGCCCAAATAAATACACACGCTTATGTGGAGAACACAGTAGTGCTCAACGGAGTCGGACAGAGTTTGTCCGAAACATGCGCGCATGCGCAGTCATTGGAACTATTTTTAGCACATTTCGGAAACCGGACAGTGCCCTATTATAATAGATTCATGGTGGAAACAGGGCCTTAAATGGTTTCGTTGCAGTTGCCCTCTCGGCCTGTATGCGGCGCTCTCACAGCAGCAGCAGCAGCAGCAGGGAGGGAGGAGGAGGAGGAGGAGGCGGAGGAGGTAAGATGGCGGCTCCCCGTGGCTCGGCGTTAGCTTTAGCCTTCGGAGAGCTCCCACACGCGGCCTCTCCACACCCCGGGAAGCGCTGGGTCTATTCCCGCGAACAGCTGCTCCACTCCCCGTCCCACCGCTGCGGAGTGGAGCCCGACCGGGAGCTGTCCTACCGCCAACAAGCCGCCAACCTGATCCAGGACATGGGGCAGAGGCTGAACGTGTATCCGCCTGGAGCTAACCGGTGCTAACCAAAGCTAATGAGGCTAACGAATGCTAACAACAGTCCTAAGCAGGCACCAAGCCGCGAACCTGATCCTTAAAAGGGAGCTACCTGGGGCAAAAGAGAGCTATCCGGAGGAGAGAGCCAGGGGCAGGCGGGTGGAGCTGTAGCCGCGTTAGCTTCTGTCCCAGCTCTGACCAGCTCTGACCATGGCGTTGCAGTGAAATAAACTACTTTTACAACAATCACAAGACCCAGTTTAAACCACATCATAAACAACACGTCACTGCTTTGAAAATACCTAGATTGTAGTTACATAAATAAAAATAATTGATTTAAGTAACCTTTACTGTACTACCAACGACATAGAGACGGGTCTGCAGCTTTTAGCCCCTGAGTGTTTGTTGTTGTTATTGGACAAAACCCACACATTTTGAAGCTGGAGAGAGATGTGTGCGTTCTCTTTATAAAACTATCAGTGATTCTGATGTGACAAAGGAGTCTGTTCTGAACTCATTTGTTGCTTCAGGAATTTAAACATTTTTGAGCAAACTGAGTTGTCAATTAGTTAATTAATTCTAATGAAATAATGTTAGTAATATGCCATTATTTTTTAGTATCTTGGCCAATACCTCCCATGTGTTCTGATTTTACAAGCCCAGGCTTTGTGGCCAGGTTGACTATAGCGCCTCCCAGAGGACAAAATCCCAGAGTTCAGAGTATGTGAACAGATGTGTGTAGTGTCCACAGTGTGTAGTGTCCACAGTGTGTAGTGTCCACAGTGTGTAGTACCCAGTGTGTAGTGTCCACAGTGTGTAGTACCCAGTGTGTAGTGTCCACAGTGTGTGTTCTGTGGGTCATGTGTTGTCCTCTTTGAAGTCTTCTGTTCCTTAAGCCTTGTCCTCAGATCTCAGCTGACCATCAACACGGCCATTGTTTACATGCACCGCTTCTACATGCAGCACTCCTTCACCAAGTTCCACCGAAACGTGAGTCAAAGCGTAAAACCTGATGTCCTCATTTGTCCCTCACTTGTCCCTCATGTCTCACACTAGTCCCTCATGTCTCCTTGTGTCCCTCAGATCATGTCTCCTTGTGTCCCTCAGATCATGTCCCCTTGTGTCCCTCAGATCATGTCCCCTTGTGTCCCTCAGATCATGTCTCCTTGTGTCCCTCAGATCATGTCCTCTTGTGTCCCTCAGATCATGTCCTCTTGTGCCCCTCAGATCATGTCCTCTTGTGTCCCTCAGATCATGTCTCCTTGTGTCCCTCAGATCATGTCCTCTTGTGTCCCTCACTTGTCCCTCATGTCTCACACTAGTCCTTCATGTCTCCTTGTGTCCCTCAGATCATGTCTCCTTGTGTCCCTCAGATCATGTCCCCTTGTGTCCCTCAGATCATGTCCCCTTGTGTCCCTCAGATCATGTCTCCTTGTGTCCCTCAGATAATGTCTCCTTGTGTCCCTCAGATCATGTCCTCTTGTGTCCCTCAGATCATGTCCCCTTGTGTCCCTCAGATCATGTCTCCTTGTGTCCCTCAGATAATGTCTCCTTGTGTCCCTCAGATTATGTCTCCTTGTGTCCCTCAGATCATGTCCTCTTGTGTCCCTCAGATCATGTCCTCTTGTGTCCCTCAGATCATCTCTCCTTGTGTCCCTCAGATCATGTCTCCTTGTGTCCCTCAGATCATGTCTCCTTGTGTCCCTCAGATCATGTCTCCTTGTGTCCCTCAGATCATGTCTCCTTGTGTCCCTCAGATCATGTCTCCTTGTGTCCCTCAGATCATGTCTCCTTGTGTCCCTCAGATCATGTCTCCTTGTGTCCCTCAGATCATGTCTCCTTGTGTCCCTCAGATCATGTCCTCTTGTGTCCCTCAGATCATGTCCCCTTGTGCCCCTCAGATCATGTCCTCTTGTGTCCCTCAGATCATGTCTCCTTGTGTCCCTCAGATCATGTCCTCTTGTGTCCCTCACTTGTCCATGTCTCACACTAGTCCCTCATGTCTCCTTGTGTCCCTCAGATCATGTCTCCTTGTGTCCCTCAGATCATGTCCCCTTGTGTCCCTCAGATCATGTCCCCTTGTGTCCCTCAGATCATGTCTCCTTGTGTCCCTCAGATAATGTCTCCTTGTATCCCTCAGATCATGTCTCCTTGTGTCCCTCAGATCATGTCCTCTTGTGTCCCTCAGATCATGTCCCCTTGTGTCCCTCAGATCATGTCTCCTTGTGTCCCTCAGATCATGTCTCCTTGTGTCCCTCAGATAATGTCTCCTTGTGTCCCTCAGATCATGTCTCCTTGTGTCCCTCAGATCATGTCCTCTTGTGTCCCTCAGATCATGTCTCCTTGTGTCCCTCAGATCATGTCTCCTTGTGTCCCTCAGATCATGTCTCCTTGTGTCCCTCAGATCATGTCTCCTTGTGTCCCTCAGATCATGTCTCCTTGTGTCCCTCAATAATGTCTCCTTGTGTCCCTCAGATAATGTCTCCTTGTGTCCCTTAGATCATGTCTCCTTGTGTCCCTCAGATCATGTCCTCTTGTGTCCCTCAGATCATGTCCCCTTGTGTCCCTCAGATCATGTCCTCTTGTGTCCGTCAGATCATGTCTCCTTGTGTCCCTCAGATAATGTCTCCTTGTGTCCCTCAGATAATGTCTCCTTGTGTCCCTCAGATCATGTCTCCTTGTGTCCCTCAGATAATGTCTCCTTGTGTCCCTCAGATAATGTCTCCTTGTGTCCCTCAGATCATGTCCTCTTGTGTCCCTCAGATCATGTCTCCTTGTGTCCCTCAGATCATGTCCTCTTGTGTCCCTCAGATCATGTCCCCTTGTGTCCCTCAGATCATGTCCTCTTGTGTCCCTCAGATCATGTCCCCTTGTGTCCCTCAGATCATGTCCTCTTGTGTCCCTCAGATCATGTCTCCGGCCACTCTGTTCTTGGCGGCGAAGGTGGAGGAGCAGCCGCGTAAACTGGAACATGTGATCAAAGTGGCACACGCCTGTTTGAACCCCACAGAGCCCCCGCTGGACACCAAGAGTAATGTGAGACTGACACTCACTCGTTCATACTCTGGACACACACACACTTACTCACTCGTTCATACTCTGGACACACTCACTCACTCACTCGTTCATACTCTGGACACACTCACTGTCACTCACTCGTTCATACTCTGGACACACACACTCACTCACTCGTTCATACTCTGGACACACTCACTGTCACTCACTCGTTCATACTCTGGACTCACTCACTCACTCGTTCATACTCTGGACACACTCACTGTCACTCACTCGTTCATACTCTGGACACACTCACTGTCACTCACTCGTTCATACTCTGGACACACTCACTGTCACTCACTCGTTCATACTCTGGACTCACTCACTCACTCACTCGTTCATACTCTGGACACACTCACTGTCACTCACTCGTTCATACTCTGGACACACTCACTGTCACTCACTCGTTCATACTCTGGACACACTCACTGTCACTCACTCGTTCATACTCTGGACACACTCACTGTCACTCACTCGTTCATACTCTGGACACACACACTCACTCACTCGTTCATACTCTGGACACACTCACTGTCACTCACTCGTTCATACTCTGGACTCACTCACTCACTCACTCGTTCATACTCTGGACACACACACACTCACTCACTCGTTCATACTCTGGACACACACGTTCATACTCTGGACACTCACTCACTCACTTGTTCATACTCTGGACACACACACACACACTCACTCATTCATACTCTGGACACACACAGAGCTAAACACAGGTTCAAACTAATTTCAGACTAACGATATCACGCAGATGGAGATAGTTGAGATATCACACGTGTGTGTAAACTTACGTGTGTGTGTTCACGTCCGTGTTTGTTGTGTGTGTACCAGGCATACCTGCAGCAGGCTCAGGAGCTGGTGGTTCTGGAGGCTATAGTTCTACAAACACTTGGTGAGACACACACACCCTCTCACACACACACACCCTCTCACACACACACACACACAATGTGTAACTGTGTGTTTGACCTCTTCTGCAGGTTTCGAGGTCACTATAGACCACCCTCACACTGATGTGGTCAAATGCACCCAGCTGGTGAGAGGTAAGGAATCGGTCTGAACTGGTCTCAACTAGACGGACTCAGTCTAGTCCAGTATAAACCAGTCTGACCTGGTCTGAACTAGTCTGACCCGGTCTCTCTCTGTTTCCACAGCGAGTAAGGACTTGGCACAGACGTCATATTTCATGGCTACCAACAGGTGTTTATTTACTGCACTCTGACCACAGTAGTGATGAGGGCGCCCCCTGCTGCCAACAGGCTGAAGTGCTGCAGAGAGAGGCTCAGAGCCACAAGGGGTCTGGGACTGGACCAGGGCTGAACCAGGACTGGTCTGGGACTGGACCAGGGCTGAACCAGGACTGGACTGGTACTGGACCAGGGCTGAACCAGGACTGGACTGGTACTGGACCAGGGCTGAACCAGGACTGGACTGGTACTGGACCAGGGCTGAACCAGGACTGGACTGGTACTGGACCAGGGCTGAACCAGGACTGGACTGGAACTGGACCAGGGCTGAACTAGGACTGGACTGGAACTGGACCAGGGCTGAACTAGGACTGGACTGGAACTGGACCAGGGCAGAACCGGGACTGGATCAGGACTGAGACAAGTCTGAGCCAGGGATGAGACAAGGGCTGCAACTGGACCTGGAATGAACCTGGACTGAAACACCATAGAATGGTGTGGTACTTGTTAAAGAATAGTTTTGTTGCAGTATAAAAATATTATAATCCACTGCACACACAAAAAAAGAAAAGTACACAAAAAACTCCATGTAGCTCAACCAGTCAATAAATATTAATTTTGTCAAATCAATAAAAACACTAAAGAGACAGTGTTATAACAGTGTTGTTTCAGCATTAAGCAGCTGTTTCACACACACACAGGCTTTCTCACACTTATGGGGTCCACACACACACACACACAGGCTGTCTCACACTTATGGGGTCCACACATACACACACACATACAGGCTTTCTCACACTTATGGGGTCCACACACACACAGGCTGTCTCACACTTATGGGGTCCATAAATACACACACAGGCTTTCCCACACTTATGGGGTCCACACACAGGCTTTCTCACACTTATGGGGTCCACACACACAGGCTGTCTCACACTAATGGGGTCCCCACACACACGGGCTGTCTCACACTTATGGGGTCCACACACAAACAGGCTTTCTCACACTTATGGGGTCCATACACACACACAAGCTATTGTGCAAAATGAGGACTTTTACTTTACAAACACATGGTTTTCGTGCTTGTCCCACTTAGAAGTTTGCAGAGTTTTTAGACAGAAGGGATTGGGGGACATCAGTGAAGCTAGAGCGACTGCAGGGTGCTTCAGATGAGGACAGCTGGAACATGGACAGTCTGGCAGTAGTTTTAGAGACTGGTGACCCCTGGTGGCAGTGCAACCCCAGGCTCTGCTGCCCCCTGCAGGCACAGCGGTGTACAGAGGCCTGGTTGGCACAGGGCTGGTGCAGGTCCGAAGTGTAGAGCTGCTTTACATAAGTCACTGAGGTAGCCATACAAAGGGGCTAGGCTTGTGCCCGGCTCTGGTAAGTACCACAACTACCACACTCCTCTTTTGTCACTGTCTTTGTTGTTTGTGGAGTAACTGGCCTTTGGTTTCAGCTGCACTCACACTCACACACTCACAGTGATAACACCACACATAAGTAAACAAACAGGTTAGAATGTGTGAGAGGTAAGTGCATACACTAGGGTTCTGTTCTCTGATGATATCGTGAAAGCACAGACGGCTGTAATGTCGTTTGTCCTCACTTTCTCTGACATGAGGCGAGCTCCCGTCTGGGTGGATTTGCATTGATTTTGAATACGTTGATGCTATAGTTTTCCAGTTAAATTAAGGGTGTGCAACATACGGCCAGCGAGAGGATTTTAGTTTAGTATGAACATACTCGGGGATATGTGCTCCCGGGTGTGTATCCTCAAACTCTCAAGAAAAATGTGATAGTGTTAGTGTTGCCGATTCACAGTTTGTAATTGTGCGTTTTACTCAATGTGCTTCTTATGCGCCGCCTGTAACATCATATACAGCGTCATAAAACCGCTATTATAACATGACAGTTAGCTTTATTTATAAGTCAGAAGAAATTCAATTCAACTATTTTTGTATAGCCCTAAATCAGAACAATAGTGATCTCGGACAACACAGATCAGAGAATCAAACATTTCAAACGCAGGAAATGAAACGATAAAAAACACAGTCATTGGACCATAAAGAGCAGAGACCAATGTCCATAAATGTTGTTGAATGAAAGGAAACTTTTGTGGCTTTTGTGCACTGTGGTTGTTCAGAGGAATTTCTCTGGTCTCTCTCTCTGATCTCTCTGTCTCTCCCTCTGGTCTCGCTCTCTGGTCCGTGTCTCTCTCTGGTCTCCCTGGTCTGTCTCTCTCTGGTCTCTTTGATCTCCGTCTGGTCCCTCTCTCTGGTCTCTCTCTCTGGTCTCTCTGTTAGTCCAAAAGCTTTCGGCCCAATATGGGTTTCAACAATAGACTCCTACAGACGAGGGTTTCATTGTATAAGATAAGATAAAGATATTGTGTTTTATATTAATAATGTCGGAGTAAGTACAGACTGATCTGTCCTGCCCCCCCCCCCCCCCCCCCCCCCCCCCCTCCCCCCCCCCCCCCTCCCCAGCCTCCACCTCACCACCTTCTGCCTGCAGCACCCCCCCACAGTGATCGCCTGTGTCTGCATACACCTGGCCTGTAAGTGGTCCAACTGGGAGATCCCCGTCTCCACCGACGGCAAACACTGGTGGGAGTACGTGGACGGGAACGTAAGCCTGAAGCTGCTGGATGGTGAGATCTCTGACCCCTACTGAGGCTGAGGCTGTGTGGGCCCTGACTGAGGCTGTGTGGGCCCTGACTGAGGCTGTGAGGGCCCTGACTGAGGCTGTGAGGGCCCTGACTGAGACTGAGGCTGTGAGGGCCCTGACTGAGACTGAGGCTGTGTGGGCCCTGACTGAGACTGAGGCTGTGTGGGCCCTGACTGAGACTGAGGCTGTGGGGGCCCTGACTGAGGCTGTGGGGGCCCTGACTGAGGCTGTGAGGGCCCTGACTGAGGCTGTGAGGGCCCTGACTGAGGCTGTGTGGGCCCTGACTGAGGCTGTGTGGGCCCTGACTGAGGCTGTGTGGGCCCTGACTGAGGCTGTGTGGGCCCTGACTGAGGCTGTGAGGGCCCTGATTAGTTGATCCTCTGTGACCCTTTGTCTCTTCAGAGCTCACACACGAGTTTCTGCAGATTCTGGAGAAAACGCCGAGTCGACTGAAGAGGATCCGGAACTGGAGGGTGAGACGGGCTCCACTGCTGCTTTTTTACACTGCAACTTGTATAGTGATGCTGCTAATATGTATTTTTGTTATGTTTGTCAGAGCAGAGTTTATGGACATATTATTTTGACTGCACTTAGTCTTTCTGCTACATTACAACATTATATTTAATGTGCGGCTTTTATGTGGACAACATTGATTTACTTTAAAATGTTGCTTATCTGTATCCTCTGTTTCATGTCTTCAGGCAACTCAAGCTGCTAAAAAGCCTCGCTCTGACTCGGATCTGGCTGGTCCGGGTTCTGCGTTGCCACTGGAACCGCCCCCTCCTGGCTCCGCCCCCTCCACCTCGGCCCAATGGCCTGCGCCGGGGCGGAGCCTAAAGGACGCCCCCAAGATGTCGCTGGAACGATACCGAGAAAAACACAAAACTGACTCTCAGCAGCCGAGCGTAGACTCTGGAAGCCACACCCTAAAAGGAAAGACTGGGGGCGGGGCTACGAGTTCAGGGGGCGTGGCTTCAGTAGGAGACAAAAAACAAAGGGATAAACGTGCATGGACGGAGGAGTGTAGTTTAAGTTTCAGCCACCCGTTGGCGCCTCTGAGTCCTCTGCCGGATGAACCGGAGAAGAGGAGACGGACCGAGGCCACGCCCACCAGTCAGGCTACACCCACCCCAGCCTACAAGAGCGCCAAAGTGTACAGAAGCCACAGTCCAAAAGGTGAGATAGATGCAGGTAGCCACATTAGCTAGTTCTGAAATGACCCAAACTCAAAACTGCTGGGTGAGATTTCATATGGGTCTTTCTCATATTGGTATTTTTCTTGTCTCTGGTCTCTTTCTGGTCTCCCTCTGGTCTCTCTCTGGTCTCTCTCTGGTCTCCCTCTGGTCACCCTCTGGTCTCCCTCTGGTCACCCTCTGGTCACCCTCTGGTCTCTCTCTGGTCTCCCTCTGGTCTCCCTCTGGTCTCCCTCTGGTCTCCCTCTGGTCTCTCTCTGGTCTCTCTCTGGTCACCCTCTGGTCACCCTCTGGTCTCCCTCTGGTCTCTCTCTGGTCTCCCTCTGGTCACCCTCTGGTCTCTCTCTGGTCTCCCTCTGGTCTCCCTCTGGTCTCCCTCTGGTCTCTCTCTGGTCTCTCTCTGGTCACCCTCTGGTCACCCTCTGGTCTCCCTCTGGTCTCTCTCTGGTCTCTCTCTGGTCTCCCTCTGGTCACCCTCTGGTCTCTCTCTGGTCTCTCTCTGGTCTCCCTCTGGTCTCCCTCTGGTCTCCCTCTGGTCTCTCTCTGGTCTCTCTCTGGTCACCCTCTGGTCTCCCTCTGGTCTCCCTCTGGTCTCTCTCTGGTCTCTCTCTGGTCACCCTCTGGTCACCCTCTGGTCTCCCTCTGGTCTCCCTCTGGTCTCCCTCTGGTCTCCCTCTGGTCTCCCTCTGGTCTCCCTCTGGTCTCTCTCTGGTCTCTCTCTGGTCTCCCTCTGGTCTCCCTCTGGTCACCCTCTGGTCTCTCTCTGGTCTCTCTTTGGTCTCACAACCGTACAATGACATCACACTATTACAGGTTGAGACAGGAGCTTTAAGACAGACGGGGTGGAGCTACATGTTTGTGCCAGAAGTTCCTGATTTTAGCATGGATGGATCTAAACACAACTCCAGGTCTGTGACTAATGAGGAACAGTGTTGGAGAATAGACCTCAGATGTCAGAGCTCTAATTGTCTAAACTCAATCTCGGCTGATTTCATTTGTTCGTCTTCAGATTGATCTGTTTTTCCACTGATCGATAATCACCAAACGTACTGTACCTTCCGCTCTGACCTCTGACCTCCCAGACCTGCTGTTGTGTCACAGCCAAGACCTGTTTACAGATGGACTATGCTAACCCACGAGCTCAATGCTAACCTGCTCGCCCAGCCCTTACCTTGTAGCTCATTGCCTACCCATGAGCTCAATGAGTCTGCTAGCCCAATTTTATCCCTGTTGCTCAATGCTAACCCACAAGAGCTTTGGTTGACCTTGGTCTGTAAAATGCACTTTATAAATAAACCTTACTCACTTACTTACAAGCTCAATGCTATCCCTGTTGCTCAATGCTAACCCTCTAGCTTAATGCTATCCTTGTTCCTCAAAGCTAACCCGGTTGCTAATGCTAACCCACTGACCCAGAAGGTGAAGTTTGACTCCTCTGTGGCTTCTATCGACTCTAGCTCAGAAACCGTTTGTGTCACACCCACCAGTGACTCGGGTCTAAACCTTCTGCCTCCTCTTCTGTTCCAGGACTTCGTGCCGCTCTGCTTTTCTCGTCGTCGTCCGAGTCTCCGCGTGACGACCACAGACACTGATGACCTCATGGCGACCTCACTTCCTCTTTATGCAAATGTTCTTCTTCTGGATTTCCTCAATTTTTTTTTTTTTACTTTGTGGATGTTTTTAGTTTGAGGAAATGTGTTTACAGTTCCACAGGCGTCCTGGAGGGGGCGCTGCTGCTACACACATGCAACAGATACACACACATTGTACAGTTTTCCTCAGGCGTCCTGGAGGGGGCGCTGCTGCTACACACATACACACAGTTCCTCAGGCGTCCTGGAGGGGGCGCTGCTGCTTTGTATTATAGGATCATTCCTGACTCGTGCCTTTGATGTAATTGTGGATCACTGGAATAAAGCCGAGTTTAAAGACGACTCCGTAGAGCTCATTAACTTAATATTCAAGAACAACACGGTTCAGACACAACACACTCGTTTGATTGGCTGAGTGAGGGACGGTGGCTCTTTTTGGTTTAAAGAGGTGACAGAGACAGAAACACATGAAACTAGAAACAGAAGCAACTGTTTTAGAGCCAGAACCAGAGACAGGGGTTTAATACAGAGTTACACACCCCAGCTTTAAAGTTATATTCCCCCACTGTGGGAGAATAAAGGATATCTTAATTGTAAGGTTCCCCAGCTGTAATGTTACGTCTCCCACCTTTAATAAATGCAACACCCCCATTCCACTGCCCCTGCCGCTTCGTTTGATGCTTTGTCCGCGCGGCAGGACCATGGATCTATTATAATAATGGGCAGGACATGGTTCCGGTCCTGGTCCAAGTCCTGGTCCAAGTCCTGCACAATGTGGTCAAAGCTGGAGAGAGCGGAAAGTGTGGAGAAAGCAGGTTTAGGGACTGAATTTAATTTCTACCATGTGAGGGACACTGAGAGGGTGGGGACACAGAGAGGGTGGGGACACAGAGAGGGTGGGGGACACAGAGAGGGGGTGGGGACACAGAGAGGGTGGGGGACACAGAGAGGGTGGGGGACACAGAGAGGGTGAGGGACACAGAGAGGGTGGGGGACACTGAGAGGGTGAGGGACACTGAGAGGGTGAGGGACACTGAGAGGGTGGGGGACACTGAGAGGGTGAGGGACACTGAGAGGGTGGGGGACACTGAGAGGGTGGGGGACACAGAGAGGGTGGGGACACAGAGAGGGTGGGGGACACTGAGAGGGTGAGGGACACTGAGAGGGTGAGGGACACTGAGAGGGTGAGGGACACTGAGAGGGTGAGGGACACTGAGAGGGTGGGGACACTGAGAGGTGAGGGACACTGAGAGGGTGAGGGACACAGAGAGGGTGGGGGACACAGAGAGGGTGAGGGACACAGAGAGGGTGGGAGACACTGAGAGGGTGAGGGACACTGAGAGGGTGGGGGACACAGAGAGGGTGAGGGACACAGAGAGGGTGGGGGACACTGAGAGGACGAGGGTGAGGGACACTGAGAGGGTGAGGGACACTGAGAGGGTGAGGGACACTGAGAGGGTGAGGGACACTGAGAGGGTGAGGGACACTGAGAGGGTGAGGGACACTGAGAGGGTGAGGGACACTGAGAGGGTGAGGGACACTGAGAGGGTGAGGGACACTGAGAGGGTGAGGGACACTGAGAGGGTGAGGGACACTGAGAGGGTGGGGGACACTGAGAGGGTGAGGGACACTGAGAGGGTGGGGGACACTGAGAGGGTGGGGGACACTGAGAGGGTGAGGGACACTGAGAGGGTGAGGGACACTGAGAGGGTGGGGGACACTGAGAGGGTGAGGGACACTGAGAGGGTGGGGGACACTGAGAGGGTGAGGGACACTGAGAGGGTGGGGGACACTGGGACATGACAGGCTGCAGGAGAAGCTCGTGCGGTGAGGGAGGCAGCGTGCGCTACACTGAAACACATCCATAAGTTACAGTGAGACAAACGTCCAAAGAACCACCTACGCTGACGTCAGAGGGGAAGGGGGAGAGAGGGAGGGAAGGGGGAGAGAGAGAGAGAGAGAGCGATCGGACTGCAGCGGAACGTGCGCTTGGAGACACCTGCTTCAGACCTGGTTGGGATCGGCTTGGTCCTGCTTTAGACCTGGTCCAGTCCTGGTCAAGACCTGGTTCACAGACGCTATGGTCGCCTTTCTGCACTGGTGTGGACTCTAGTATTCATCGCTTCTGTTTCGCGTCCACTTCGCTTCTGTTTCGCGTCAGTCCGCTTCATCAGCCGCTTCTGTCTGCGCCTGGACTGCGGGGATCCCGTGGGTGCTGCAGATGGGTGAGTGTCGTGGGAGACAGTGGGAGACAGGATGTGCTCCGGGTGCTGCGTTAATCCCACTAACAATGGGCGGTTATCTGATCCGCGCCGCGAGCGTTTGTCCTCGTTTTTGACGCGTGACTCATTGCGCGTTGCCATGGATACTGCGCTGCACCGTGGGACGTGGAGTATAGTTATGTAGTTCTTATGTAAATGTGTGAGAGAGGAGTCCACACACAACTGCTGCAGCATGTGGGGAGAGACTTTAAAGCTGGGGTACCTAACTTTCAGACCACAATAGCCATTCTTAAAAAAAAATGCATTGGCATCTTTTTAAGTTTTGCGAACAAGACTGTGTTTTAAGTATTCTTTGTAAGTCTTTTATCAATGGTCCAGCACAATTTTTCCAATTCCACCAACTTGGATTATTGAGTTATAAAGAGACTTAAAGTATATTCAGCAAGTGTTTTTGCATCAGTTCAACTCAATTTTAACAATGCCACCAACTTCAACTATTACATTGATTGTTAGTATTAGATAGCAATATGGCCTACGTGCAGGACTGTACAAGGACTCTACAAGGACTCCATGTTATGACTATGAACAAATCTTTTTGAGTATATTCAGCGAGTAATTTTCAGTCAGTAAGTAATTTTTATCTCTACCTCCATGCATGATGACCACTGTATAATATTAACTCAGTAATGAAAGATGACCCACGCCTAGTTTGGCTCGGCCCTGTCGATCACGGTTGGTCAAAATAAATACAATTACTCCCTCGGTCAAATTAGTTTATCTAAATGTTGCTCAAGTATTTTGCTTTAGGACTTGCTTCATATTCATTCTTAAAATGAATGGTCAAATGTAGAATTTTTAAGAAGTTTATATTTTGCTCTGCAATGCATTCTGGGTAGCATCACTGCTTTGCCACATTTTGTTTTGTCATTAATGGACCACCAGGCTTATAGAAGAAATATTTAAAGTATTTTCACTTAAAGCAATAAAATCAGTATTGTACAGGGAGCTATGATAATATTATACAGTACTTATTTGTTAACCAAAAATATAGAATAGTGGAAAATGAAGTATATAGTAATTACTTAAAATATTTGACATCAAAGTTTGGTCTGATTCACTTATTAGTGTAGTGTAGTCAGTGTATGCTATAATATCTCTGTACATTCTTTAACAGAGTCCACATGTGACGTCACGCGAGGATTTTCATGTTGAGCAAACTCAATACTTCTCCGTTGTTCAGTTATGCCAGAATATCAAGTTCAAATTTGTTACAAAAATGAGTTCGGATTCATGTATTCACTTTTAATTGAGACCAGCATGTTTAAAATGAGTTGAGACCACACTAATTTAAGTAAAACTGGAGTTTAGTTCAGTATGTATTTTGAGTTCAAAATACTAACCACCTGAATCATTTTTAGAGATATGCAATAAACCCATGGTACTTGTTCCTGGCTCTTTCAATTCTCTCTGGTCTCTCTCTGGTCTCTCTCTGGTCTCTCTCTGGTCTCTCTCTCTGGTCTCTCTCTGGTCTCTCTCTGGTCTCTCTCTGGTCTCTCTCTGGTCTCTCTCTGGTCTCTCCCTGGTCTCTCTCTGGTCTCTCTCTGGTCTCTCCCTGGTCTCTCTCTGGTCTCTCTCTGGTCTCTCTCTGGTCTCTCTCTCTGGTCTCTCTCTGGTCTCTCTCTGGTCTCTCTCTGGTCTCTCTCTGGTCTCTCTCTGTCTCTCTGGTCTCTCTCTGGTCTCTCTCTGGTCTCTCTCTGGTCTCTCTCTGGTCTCTCTCTGGTCTCTCTCTGGTCTCTCTCTGGTCTCTCTCTCTGGTCTCTCTCTCTGGTCTCTCTCTCTGGCCTCTCTCTGGTCTGACCCTGGTCTCTCTCTGGTCTCTCTCTGGTCTCTCTCTCTGGTCTCTCTCTCTGGTCTCTCTCTGGTCTCTCTCTCTGGTCTCTCTCTCTGGTCTCTCTCTCTGGTCTCTCTCTGGTCTCTCTCTCTGGTCTCTCTCTGGCCTCTCCCTGGCCTCTCTCTGGTCTCTCTCTGGTCTCTCTCTCTGGCCTCTCTCTGGTCTCTCTCTCTCTGGCCTCTCTCTGGTCTCTCCCTGGTCTCTCTCTGGTCTCTCTCTGGTCTCTCTCTGGTCTCTCTCTCTGGTCTCTCTCTGGTCTCTCTCTGGTCTCTCTCTGGTCTCTCCCTGGTCCCTCTCTGGTCCCTCTCTGGTCTCTCTCTCTGGTCTCTCTCTCTGGTCTCTCTCTGGTCTTTCTCTCTGGTCTCTCTCTGGCCTCTCTCTGGTCTGACCCTGGTCTCTCTCTGGTCTCTCTCTGGTCTCTCTCTGGTCTCTCTCTCTGGTCTCTCTCTGGTCTCTCTCTCTGGCCTCTCTCTGGTCTCTCCCTGGTCTCTCTCTGGTCTCTCTCTGGTCTCTCTCTGGTCTCTCTCTCTGGTCTCTCTCTGGTCTCTCTCTGGTCTCTCTCTGGTCTCTCTCTGGTCTCTCTCTGGTCTCTCCCTGGTCTCTCTCTGGTCTCTCTCTGGTCTCTCTCTGGTCTCTCTCTGGTCTCTCTCTCTGGTCTCTCTCTCTGGCCTCTCTCTGGTCTGACCCTGGTCTCTCTCTGGTCTCTCTCTGGTCTCTCTCTGGTCTCTCTCTCTGGCCTCTCTCTGGTCTCTCCCTGGCCTCTCTCTGGTCTCTCTCTGGCCTCTCTCTGGTCTCTCTCTGGTCTCTGGTCTCTCTCTCTCTGGTAATGGTCAGGTCAGAGTAGCCACAGCTGCCCTGGGGCACATTGAAGCAAGGCAACCACAAGACTGACTCCCACTCGTTGTTGGCAGAACACTTCACCCTCATTGATGGTTGGTGGTGGTGGGAGGGGCCGACTGGTTACCTGGCTTCTGTCAGTGTGCCCCAGGGCAGCTGTGGCTATATTAAAAGTTTATCAACACTGTTTATAGAGTGAAATAATTATGACGTTTAAAGAGACTTTGAGTCCACCACCACAAACCATTCACACACACACCAGACTCATTCTAATGTGGGGGAAGTGTCTTGCCTAAGGACACAGTCACAGTTTGGCACTTTACAGCTGCAGCCGCCCCACTGTGGCACCTGGCGTTCCCAGAGGTCTCCCATCACAGCACTAACCAGACCCAGTCTTGCTTAGCTTCAGAGGTCTGACAGGACCGGCTTTGTCGCTTATTTTCATGGATCGTTGTGATTGGGTTTTCTCTACATCAGCGACCAATCAGAACCTAGTCGATGGAAAATGACCACGCCCACTTCCTGTCAGCTGTCAAGAAGTGGGCGTGGCCCCAATGATGCTCCTTTCCCCTGTTGTTTCTCTGAGCCGGACTCATGTATGACATGTGCTAGATAAATGAATGTCCTCTCTCTGCAGCGGTCTTGGGTCTGGTCTTGGTTCTGGTCCCGGGTCTGGTCCAGGCCTGTAGTCCGCAGTACCAGGAGGCTGTGGACCAGTTCTGTCTAAGCCGCTTCAGTCTGGACCTGGACCAACTGGACCAGAGCCGGTGGTGCGACTGGGAGGAGACGCTGGAGTGAGTGACCTCTCTCTCTGGTCTCTCTCTAGTCTCTCTCTCTGGTCTCTCTCTCTCTGGTCTCTCTCTAGTCTCTCTCTCTGGTCTCTCTCTCTCTGGTCTCTCCCTAGTCTCTCTCTCCGGTCTCTCTCTCTCTGGTCTCTCTCTCTGGTCTCTCTCCAGTTTCTGGTCTCTCTCTAGTCTCTCTCTCTGGTCTCTCTCTCTCTGGTCTCTCTCTCTGGTCTCTCCCTAGTCTCTCTCTCTGATCTCTCTCCGGTCTCTGGTCTCTCTCTAGTCTCTCTCTCCGGTCTCTGGTCTCTCTCTAGTCTCTCTCTCCGGTCTCTCTCTCTGGTTTCTCTCTCTGGTCTCTCTCTAGTCTCTCTCTCCGGTCTCTCTCTAGTCTCTCTCTCCGGTCTCTCTCTCTGGTCTCTCTCGCTGGTCTCTCTCTCTAGTCTCTCCCTGGTCTCTGGGGCTGGTCTCTCTCTAGTCTCTCTCTCTGGTCTCTCTCTCTAGTCTCTCCCTGGTCTCTCTCTGGTCTCTTCCTGGTCTCAGATCTGACTCTCCTCTCCACAGATCTTACTCGGAGCTCACAAACTGCTCGTTCGTGGTGGCACTGAAGCTCGGCTGCTATTGGCCGAACCGGGAGGTCGACGCCCTCTTTGTGGGCGTGCACCAGCGGTACTTCAGCGACTGTGCTCTAATTGGACGGCTGCTCCGGGACCCGCCCACTCAGGTGTGTGGGCCAATCATCATGGGCCCAGTGCTGGTGACGCTGCTCATGACTGCCCTGGTGGTGTGGAGGAGCAAGCGCAGCGAGGGAGTGTTGTAGGGTCTCAACCTGAGGGACGCGGACAAGAGGCCGAGGGACAGCATTTTATATTACAACACATGAGTAAAGCTGTGGAACGTAACTTACATACTCTAGCTTTAAAGTTACGTACCTCAGCTTTAAAGATGAAGTGGCTTGAAGTGTTGATCTTGTTAAATGCTGTTTGTTTTATTTTACTATTATTAAAACTGCAAAGACCACCTCTGTACCTGTGTACAGCAGGTATCACAGGTACTTTCACTTTGATATATTTATAACTCAGAAAAGGCACAAATATTAAAATGATGTTATTATGATTATTATGAAGTGAATTTGATAAGATGTTATGACTGATAAACATACTGTATATTATTATTATTATTATTATGATATACTCACCTATGGTCATGAACTTTGGGTAATGACCGAAAGAACGAGATCGCGGATACAAGCAGTCGAAATGAGCTTCCTCCGCAGAGTGGCTGGGCGCTTAGAGATAGGGTGAGGAGCTCAGTCACACGGGAGGAGCTCGGAGTAGAGCCGCTGCTTCTTCACGTTGACTCAGCACCTGCAGGAGGATCAGTGAGGGGCTGGTGCTCTGTGGACTGGGTGCAACTCTGACTGCCACCCCCGACCCAGAAATGGATTAAAGGGAAGAAAATGGATGGATTGTTATGATATAAACTCATAAACTGCATCTATTTCCTGTGAATCTCCAGTTTGTGAAAAGCACAGATCACGTTTTATTAAATAAAGTCATTTACACGTTTGTCTTGTTTCATTAATGTTAGGAAAGACACTGATTTAGGTTTATTTGTGTAACACAGTCACAGGAGTTAGAGACCAGAGAGACACCAGAGAGAGACCAGAGAGAGACCAGAGAGAGACCAGAGAGAGACCAGAGAGAGAGACCGGAGAGAGAGACCAGAGAGACACCAGAGAAAGACCAGAGAGAGACCAGAGAGACACCAGAGAGAGACCAGAGAGACACCAGAGAGACACCAGAGAGAGACCAGAGAGACACCAGAGAGAGACCAGAGAGACACCAGAGAGAGACCAGAGAGACACCAGAGAGACACCAGAGAGAGACCAGAGAGACACCAGAGAGAGACCGGAGAGAGACCAGAAAGACACCAGAGAGAGACCAGAGAGAGACCAGAGAGACACCAGAGAGAGACCAGAGAGAAACACCAGAGAGAGACCAGAGAGAGAGACCAGAGAGAGAGACCAGGCAGGGAGACCATAGAGAGACTTATGAGAACTGGGGGATGGAGACTTCTGATCAGGGTGAGTTTTTAACCTTGTGTTTGGACGTGTTTGACTTTTGCTGCACTTCCTGTCAACAAATGTGTTCTCCATGTGTTTGTGTGGGACTACATCTCCCAGGAGGCTTTGCACAAAGTCTCCATAGCAACGACATCTGCTTCATTAGTTCCTTGTTCATAATAATTCATCAGTTTTATACAGCACTTTTTGAACACTCAAAAAGACACTTTACATATCATTATTCTTTCACCATACATGGGGGTGATTAAACACCACTGTAGCCACAGCTGCCCTGGGGCACACTGACAGAAGAGAGGCAACCAGTCTGTGCCATCGGCCACTCCCACCACCACCAACCATTCACACACACACCAGACTCATTCTAATGTGGGGGAAGTGTCTTGCCTAAGGACACAACGGCAGTTGGGCACTTTACAGCCATAGCCGCCCCACTGTGGCTCCTGCTGTTCCCAGATGTTCAGTGTCTTGCCCAAGGACACATCGACAGCAGACATCAGTGGAGAAAGTCTTGTGGTGGGCTCAAGCCCACAACCTTCTGACTCAAAGGCCAATGCTCTACCGACTGAGCTACTGTTCAGCGTTATCTGTTCTGTCGCATAAACGTGTTCTTGAGGAGTATGAGCAGGACTCCCTCTGGTGGTAGAAGTGCGAAACTACATCCTCAGAGACCAGAGAGACCAGAGAGCGACCAGAGAGGGACCAGAGAGAGACCAGAGAGAGACCAGAGAGAGACCAGAGAGAGACCAGAGAGAGACCAGAGAGAGACCAGAGAGGGACCAGAGAGAGACCAGAGAGGGACCAGAGAGAGACCAGAGAGAGACCAGAGAGGGACCAGAGAGAGACCAGAGAGAGACCAGAGAGAGACCAGAGAGAGACCAGAGAGAGACCAGAGAGGGACCAGAGAGAGACCAGAGAGGGACCAGAGAGAGACCAGAGAGAGACCAGAGAGAGACCAGAGAGGGACCAGAGAGAGACCAGAGAGGGACCAGAGAGGGACCAGAGAGAGACCAGAGAGGGACCAGAGAGGGACCAGAGAGGGACCAGAGAGAGACCAGAGAGGGACCAGAGAGGGACCAAAGAGAGACCAGAGAGGGACCAGAGAGGGACCAGAGAGAGACCAGAGAGAGACCAGAGAGAGACCAGAGAGACCAGAGAGAGACCAGAGAGGGACCAGAGAGGGACCAGAGAGGGACCAGAGAGGACCAGAGAGGGACCAGAGAGGGACCAGAGAGGGACCAGAGAGAGACCAGAGAGGGACCAGAGAGGGACCAGAGAGAGACCGAGAGAGACCAGAGAGGAGACCAGAGAGGGACCAGAGAGAGACCAGAGAGGGACCAGAGAGGGACCAGAGAGGGACCAGAGAGAGACCAGAGAGGGACCAGAGAGGGACCAGAGAGGGACCAGAGAGAGACCAGAGAGAGACCAGAGAGGGACCAGAGAGGGACCAGAGAGGGACCAGAGAGGGACCAGAGAGAGACCAGAGAGGGACCAGAGAGGGACCAGAGAGAGACCAGAGAGAGACCAGAGAGGGACCAGAGAGAAAGACCAGAGAGACACCAGGGAGAGAGACCAGAGAGGGACCAGAGAGGGACCAGAGAGGCACCAGAGAAAGACCAGAGAGAGAGACCAGAGTGAGACCAGAGAGAGACCAGTAAACACATTCATTGTTTCCTGGACAGACAAGTCCCGAGGCCAAAGAACAATGTTCCAAAGCAAAGGACAGAACAAATACACTTAAAGAGGAGGTCAAAGCCGCTTGCGGTTTTAATTGTCTCATTGTTCGGTTCCATTAGAGACTGGAATCATGTTCCTGTGTCCACACATTAGTCCACTTTAAGACCACGTGGTCCGAGTCTTCCCTTGTATAAAGTCCTGCAGATGGAGACCAGGATCAGACCAGGTTTAGACCATGGTTTAGTCCAGGTTTAGTCCAGGTGTAGTCCAGGTGTAGTCCAGGTTCAGAGCAGGTATAGATTGGGTGTAGACCAGGTTGAGTCCAGGTCCCACAGGTCCGGTTTTGAAAAGGTTCAGTCCCAGATCTGGTTCCACTCATGGATCCTGTCACTGGGCTCTTCAGAATCTCAGTCCTGGTCCCGGTCCTGGTCCTGTCTGTGATCCGGCCCAGCGTTGGCTCTGGTCCAGGGTCCAGGTCTGGTCTAGAACTGGTCCAGGTCCCCTTGTCCTTCTCGGAGGCAGAGCAGCGGTGTGTGGAGCTGGGAGGACGTTTGGCTCAGATCTCAGACCAGAGGCTTCAGCAGCAACTTCAGGAAATCCTGCAACATTCAGATACTTCAACTACAGAGGCCTGGATTGGACTGAGGACCAGACCCGGAACCAGACCCAGGCCTGGGACCACACCCGGGACCGGACTGAGATCCTGGAGAAACACAACAGGTGAGACCAACACGGCTCATCTAACACTAACCTGAATAGTTTGACAGAAATGCTTGTTGCAGATGTGTCCTGGTCAGATGGTTCCCTTGGGAGCTTCTCTGCGTGGGTCCAGAGTCCAGACCTGGGTCCAGACCTGGGTCCAGACCTGGGTCCAGACCTGGGTCCAGACCTAGTACCGGTCTGTGGTCTGGTTCTGGGATCTTCAGGATCTCGTTGGGCTCTGACCTCAGACTGTGAGAGAAAACTTCCCTTCATCTGTCAATACGGTCAGTCCTGATTTAGACCTGGAGTTAAAGCTCAGGGACGTAACTTTAGTTTAATAAATAACACATGTTTAAAGCTCGGGTATGACTCTCCTCTGGTGTCTGGTCTCTGTCTGGTCTCTGGTCTGGTCTATGGTCTCCACAGGCTCAGTCTCAGTCTGGACTATGGGTCAGAACTGGACTCTGTCGTGTGGACCGGGACAGGTCCTGGAGTTGGACCAGTTTCACCTGGTTCCAGAGCAGAAGCAGAGCAGTGCCCCGTGTGGACATGGAGGAGTACTGCGCCTCCTGCAGGGTAAGACACACTCTCCACCTCCTCCCCCCCCCCCCCCCCCCCCCTGCAGAAGGGCCGGGGGTCAGCAGGTGTTTGAGTCATTCAGCTTGTTTATTTTCCATTGGGTCCCATGGCGACGGAGACAGTGTTTGCCAAGCTGAGGTGAGCGGACAGAGGGACAGTGCTTTTGTCCCTGTGAGCCGCACTCGCTGTGGTCAGGCCACTTCTGCAAACACTGAAGTACGAGAGCTGTTACCGTGGAAACTGTGGCAGCCATTTTGGGACAGTGAAATATCTCATGTAAAAACAGGTTTAAAGTCTGGTCCAATCTAGTCCACATGGGTCTGGTCCACACAGGGTTGGGTCCAGTCTGGTCCATGTCAGTCCAGTTTCGTTCACACTGTTTTGTTGTTTTTCAGCGTTGTGCAGCGGACGTTCATTCTGTCGTCTGCCTGTGTTCTCTCTATCTCACCTGTGTGTGACTCCGCCCACTACCATGCACACTGCCACGCCCACTGCCACGCCTACTGCCACGCCTACTGCCACGCCTACTGCCACGCCTACTGCCACGCCCAGACTGGAGTACCACTGCCGCACAGGTACATTGGGTGTAGCAGTGTTTGGAGTTCCCAATCACAGCAGCGTAAAGTGCTTGTAAAGTGCTTAAAGTGTGTGTTATGTTTTGGTCAGAGCGCACCATCTTGCTGCTCTCTTGCTCCTCTGGAAGTCGATCCTTCTCGCCTCAGACCTGCAGCGCCCTCTCTGGACACCCCTTGTATCTGCAGGTGTACACAGGTATAATAACTACAGCTTTATCTCTGCTTCTCCCACTGCATGCTAACCACCGCGTGCTAACCAATGCATGCTAACCACTGCATGCTAACCACCGCGTGCTAACCAATGCATGCTAACCACTGCATGCTAACCACCGCGTGCTAACCACCGCGTGCTAACCACCGCGTGCTAACCACTGCATGCTAACGACTGCATGCTAACGACTGCATGCTAACCACCGCGTGCTAACCAATGCATGCTAACCACTGCATGCTAACCACTGCGTGCTAACCACCGCGTGCTAACCACCGCGTGCTAACCACCGCATGCTAACCACTGCATGCTAACCACTGCATGCTAATGACTGCATGCTAACCACCGCGTGCTAACCAATGCATGCTAACCACTGCATGCTAACCACTGCGTGCTAACCACCGCGTGCTAACCAATGCATGCTAACCACTGCATGCTAACCACCGCGTGCTAACCACCGCGTGCTAACCACCGCGTGCTAACCACTGCATGCTAACCACTGCATGCTAACGACTGCATGCTAACCACCGCGTGCTAACCAATGCATGCTAACCACTGCATGCTAACCACTGCGTGCTAACCACCGCGTGCTAACCACCGCGTGCTAACCACCGCGTGCTAACCACTGCATGCTAACCACTGCATGCTAACGACTGCATGCTAACCACCGCGTGCTAACCAATGCATGCTAACCACTGCATGCTAACCACTGCGTGCTAACCAATGCATGCTAACCACTGCATGCTAACCACCGCGTGCTAACCAATGCATGCTAACCACTGCATGCTAACCACAGCATGCTAACCACCGCGTGCTAACCACTGCATGCTAACCACTGCATGCTAACGACTGCATGCTAACCACCGCGTGCTAACCAATGCATGCTAACCACTGCATGCTAACCACTGCGTGCTAACCACCGCGTGCTAACCACCGCGTGCTAACCACTGCATGCTAACCACTGCATGCTAACCACTGCATGCTAACCACTGCATGCTAACCACCGCGTGCTAACCACCGCGTGCTAACCACTGCATGCTAACCACTGCATGCTAACCACAGCTCAGATGTCCAGGACAGTGACCAGGCCTCCCACAAGCATCAACCAACATTGTTCTTACATTTGTTTCTCTTATTTTCTTATGTTATTGATTTTATTCATCTCTTACAGTTTCTGAAATGTTTTTCTTAATTTAATTCTGTCTTGCTGAGGCAGTATTTGGAGTAAATAATATGTACTCAATGTGCCTTCAGTCGATCAGACATTTCAGAAAACAGCTCATGATTTATATTTGTCTGTTCTCTCTTCAGCTGCTGATGTAGATGTGTGGGTCACTGCCAGGGCTAACCACTCTGCTAATGCTAATGTTAGCAGCCATGCTAACCTGAGCGGCCATGCTAACGTGACTCTGCCTGCTCTACTTCTGCGGAGCCTGGGCCCCGGGTGCCAGAGTCTGCAGCTCCACGCTCGGAACAGAAACACCCTGAGAGACGAGACGGAGCCGATCCAGGTACAGCTGCAAGACTGTCTCCTCCACAGCTGCAGGACTGCTCCTCCACAGCTGCAGGACTGTCTCCTCCACAGCTGCAGGAGGACTGTCTCCTCCACAGCTGCAGAGGAGAAGGACTGTCTCCTCCACAGCTGCAGGAGGACTGTCTCCTCCACAGCTGCAGGAGGACTGTCTCCTCCACACCAGCTGCAGCTGAGGACTGTCTCCTCCACAGCTGCAGGAGGACTGTCTCCTCCACAGCTGCAGGAGGACTGTCTCCTCCACAGCTGCAGGAGGACTGTCTCGTCTCCTCCGTGCACAGCTGCAGGAGGACTGTCTGCAGAGGACTCCACAGCTGCAGGAGGACTGACTGTCGACCTCCGCAGCTGCAGGAGGACTGTCTCCTCCACAGCTGCAGGAGGACTGTCTCCTCCACAGCTGCAGGAGGACTGTCTCCTCCACAGCTGCAGGAGGACTGTCTCCTCCACAGCTGCAGGAGGACTGTCTCCTCCACAGCTGCAGGAGGACTGTCACCTCCACAGCTGCAGGAGGACTGTCTCCTCCACAGCTGCAGGAGGACTGTCTCCTCCACAGCTGCAGGAGGACTGTCTCCTCCACAGCTGCAGCTGCAGGAGGACTGTCTCCTCCACAGCTGCAGGAGGACTGTCTCCTCCACAGCTGCAGGAGGACTGTCTCCTCCACAGCTGCAGGAGGACTGTCTCCTCCACAGCTGCAGGAGGACTGTCTCCTCCACAGCTGCAGGAGGACTGTCTCCTCCACAGCTGCAGGAGGACTGTCTCCTCCACAGCTGCAGGAGGACTGTCTCCTCCACAGCTGAATAAACATTTTCATTATGGCCTCAGAGATGTTGTTTCCCTCCAGGTGTGCGTGGTGCAGCCTGTGTCCCAGCTCCAGGCCTCTCTCCTGGGCACAGACCCTCCAGACCTCCCCCTGACTCTGGGCCTCTCTGTGGAGCAGGGGACTCCGGCTCAGGTCTGGGTCTACCTCCTGACCCTGAACCAGTCCTTCCTGCACACCAGAGTTCTGACCAGGACTCAGCAGGTCTTCAGCTTTGATCACAGGGCGCCAGGTAAGCTCAAACATCAGTAAGTTCTAATAATGTTTGTAGATGGTCCACAGCGCCCCCTGCTGTTGTTGCAGATGTGCAGGAGGTCAGGGTGACAGCGGTGAACGGGTTTTCAGAGTCACACACCGAGATCAGTGTGTGTCCCCGAAACTCCAGCAGAACCATGTGTGTCCACAACAGCACCAAGGTCTGTGTGTGTTTTTGTGCATGTGTTTTTGTCTGTGACTTTGTGTGCCTATGTTTGTGTGTGTGTCTGTCTGTTATGTGTGTGTGATGTTTGTACATTACAGCGTTTCCTGCAGCCTCAACACAAGAGGAAGACTGGAGGCGTGGACGTACGAGCAAAGTTCTAGGCCTTGACGACCCCCCCACCCATACACACACACACTCAGACACACACACACACAAACACACACATACACGTTTTTGTTACCTGGTGGGTCCCTTTGACAGGGCCGTTCAGAATGGGACCCATAGACATAATCTTTTTTACTGGGACTACTTTAAGTAATACAAAACAGTCAATAGAAAACAAACAACTATTTTAAATGAATTTTATTTTTGATTTTTTTTTTTTGAATTGCCTTGATTCTATTTTTGACATAGAATTTAATGCCACTCCATGTCCGATGTCTAAGGTCATCTGGTGAGGCATTAATGCAGGCCAGGCCAGGCCAGGCCAGGCAGTGAGACTTCCCAGGGACCTTTCCAGTCTGTATGAAAGGCGTCATGGTCTTCTCCACAGCCTTCACCTCAGATGCAGACCATGACTTTCTCTAACGTTCTAGGGAGAGAAATAAAAATATATTAGCAATATACACTCCCAGGGTTAGGACCAAGCAGCCTGGCTGTAATCCCCCACCTGGTACACTTACCAGAAGGGGCACTGCCACTACCATGGGGTGCATCTGGATGAATGGTTGAAGGTTCTCCGCTTGAAGTTTCTTTTAGCCCGTCCGTTTGTGAGAGGATCTCTACTGCTCTCCCTGTCGCACAGAAAATAAAAATACAAGTGGCCTTTAGGGGAAAAAAATCATACATATTTTAATAATATCAAGAATTACCTTCAGGCTCAATTTGTATCTGGTCGAGGCTCTTTCCTTCGAATTCCGTCACTCTTCCCTGCTCCATGGCCATCAACACTTTGCTGATTTTGGCCAGCTCCAGTGTCCCCTCTGGTAGTCTGTAATATTGCCTGTGGATGCGAATGTCATGGCCGAGGAAGTTGGCAAGTATGTCCATCTCATTCTCTTTCATATTGAGAACTGTAGACATAGTAGCTATGTGCTTTCTAAGTTTGGTTGAGGATAGCATCTCTGGATGCACCGCACCACATTCTTTGGCTACCTGGCGTAGGGAGTCTGATCCCCTGATGTGGGTGTCTGCGCCCGGGCGGGAAAAGAAGTATGGGTTATGGTCAGAGATGGAACAGGCCCTTCTGTTCTCCACCAGCACCTCCATCGAAGCAATCATTTCAGGAGTCAAAAGAACCGGCACTTTCCCACTTCTTTTCCCTTTAATTTCAATGCGTTGAAAATGCTGACACAGCTTTTTCTCAAGTTGGGACAGTCCCAGAGCAATGTCAGAATGGATCCCAGTCTTACTTCTTAAGGTAAAGGCTGTCAGTGGCATCTTTGAAACCTCACCTTCCCTTCTTCGATTGAAAATAATGACCTCACAAAGAGTCAAAACTGCCAGTTTAGACCAATGCTTAGACGTTGGCTCACTTATTAGGGTTTGCACATATTCAGGTCGACATACCTCAATATGTGCATGCATGGCTCTAACGTCCTCAGTCAGAGGGAG